TTCCTAAAAAAAAAAGGGAAGTAGGCTTTGTTTTGTTTCTGCCCCTTTTCTGGATGATGAATATTGAAGGAGTGTGAAATTTTTCTTTCATTTGAACTAATGGGGGGAAAAGTCTACTCTGGCTGAGAGATTTTCATAGTGTTTTTATTTTTTTTTGCAAGCCAGCCGAATACGTGAAAGCAAGAATTTTAAAGCATCTGTATCCATTAGACCAAAAAAGAAGTTAGTGGAAAATTCAAACTATTTGCCAATAAGAAACTTCCCAGGTTTGAATAACCATCTCCCCCTTTGAATACATATCTAAAAAAGGAAAGCAGGCTTTAGCAGTTTTACATCAAAATTGTCTCCCAATTAATTTTTTTATAAAACAATCATATTTTTGTCACTATTAATTTTTACCAGAAAATTTTGTCTAATAATAAAATCAATTTCAAATAGCTTCTGTTTTATGAATTTTGTATATCAAGATTACAATATTTGACAGAAACTTTTGTGCAACTTAATAGCATTGATGCAAGGCAAATATGATTTCAACAGATAAACTCATTGCATTTCAGAAAAAAAAAACTAAAGATGGCAAAATTGGAATGTTTATCTCAATATGCAAAAACAGCATAAAAGCAAAAGATTCATTGCAGTAAAAGAGCATTTGATAAATTTAAAAATTTTGATTTTCATCATTAAATCCTCCAGATTATACAATTTTAATGTGATGACCATTTAAAATTATATAAAGAATGAGAGTTGGTTTCTATATAGTTGTCATTGGCTTTATCTCTTAGCCAAGGATTTAATTTCTTCTTCGCTGAGCACTTCTTTTATGGTGATGGCATTTATGACTAAATTCACCGCCAACGTACAGGTTCAGGACTAGAAGCTTCCAAATTCACCAAAAGCTGCTCCCATCATCCATTCCCTATCATCATTTGGCTTTGCAAGAATTGGTTGGAGGTGAAAGAATATCAGAGTAGACGAAAGTGCCGATGGCAGGAATTTATTTAAGGTGGACATCAACTTGCCAGGAAGTAAGTGTTGTTTCTATTACTTTCCTTTGCAACATATATGGGATGAGACATACAGAATCCAATTATGAATCTGCAATGGACTGCCCCTGACTCTGCTATAATTTTGAATGGCGCCTTCTGTAGCATGTCCATCATGCATAACCCTCTTCATCTGCTAGTTCAACTGCTGAGGTCTTTTCTAATCATCATCTGCATGTTCCATGAATATATTAGGTTGAAAGAAAAGTTCATAACATTTTTTGGAGTAAATTTCAAAGACAAAATTTAGATATTTTGTACCTAAATCTATTCAACCACATGTGTTGCATTATGGTCCACTACCTTTTGCCATCTTTGAGGCAGCTTCATGATTCCATCTTCCCAGAACTTGGCATCTTTCTGGTCTAAGTGGTTTTTACAGGCTTCGAAAAAATTGCAGTATGATAGCTGTAGTCGGACATTACAGCCAAGTGGTAACCATTTCTGCTTGGTCTGTAAAGAGGTCAGATCAGGCATTGTCATGATAGAAGATGACACCTTTCCGATTGGCCAGTTCTGGATCCTTTTCATTGAGTGCAGCCTTTAATTAGTTCAGTGGAGTGGTTGCCTGAATTCAGTGTCTGGTTTTGTTGAAGGAGCTCTTAATACACCAAATACACAGTATCATCTTCTTCAAATACAGACCAATGTTGAAACTGGTTAGTACTTATGTGGGAGACTGCTTGGTAAAACTGGGTACTGTGAATGACATCCTACAATCTGAAATAAGCCATATAAATAAAATCAATCAATTAGATGCAGACTGACATTTTGGAGTTTTCGTCAGGGCATTTTTTTTTGCTTCACATTGTTGTAAACAATCCATTTTTTTTATCACTTGTCATCATTTTTTTCAAAAATTGGTTCTAGAGATAGAAATGAGGTCTATTAATGTTTTTCTCTGATAAATCATGAAGCACTTCACAATTGTAACAATTCATATATCTATGTATTTTCTAATGTCTTACAATGGACAGATGTAATATGTGAAGTATATCTGTGATGGTTTATGTCACATCAAATGGATTGTCTTTCATCAGTATTTCAATTTGATCATCATCAACATTTCAGGCCTGACAGAATATTCTTGTACCTCCAAATCAAAATTTCCACTTCTGAACCTAGCAAACCATTTTTGATCAGTACTCTAAGCTTATGGCACACACACCTCTTTTGCTGTCTGTAAACTGTTTTTTCCTTTCTAGAAATGAAAGATGGTCAAATTATTTTTTAAAATCATTCAAAAAAGTAATTGCAAATAAGTATTCAGTCTTTCTCTCTGGAGATAAATATATACAATATATAAATATAAAATATGTAAATATAAACAAAATAACAAGATCATTTCTATATCATGTTTTTCCTACATATGTTCCCAAAAAGAAAAACCATTGTTTTGTTTATGTTTCATCACATGATCTCTTGTGAATACTGATTCTTCTTCTTCCTTTTCTTTCCCTATATCTAAACAGTTCCAAACAGCCTGGTGTACTAATGGACATTTACTTATACTTCTTTGACAATCACAAAATACTGCTAATAAAAGTACAGTAATGTATAATAGAACATTCCATTGCTGTGAATGCAATCATAACATGAAGTTTACATTTTCTCAGCTGAGCTTGCATTGTTTATTTCATTGATACAAAATTATTCTTCAAATAGGCAATTTTTTATGAAGTTATACCAGTAATATATAAGTTGGAAATGGCTTTACTACTTTTATTGTCAGTTTATTTGATAATATGAATCATTTCATGTATGTTATTGATTATCACACTGAGACCAAGGTTAGCCTACCGACAAATATCACTCAGAATTTAAAGTTTCTTTTTTAGAATTGTAGTATAAGACACCCCCCCAATTTTTAAGGGAGACTTTTAGGATTTAAAGGTTGTCTTATACATGGAAATATACAGTATTTCCTTCAAGAGGAAAGAATTAGTTATTTTCTTTTGTGGTAAGCATTCAATTATGTTTTTCCAAGCTAAGTGTTATTTTTTTTTAAAGTAAACAATGATTTAGGTTTTTGAGAGGAAAGAATCTAGTTATTTTTTTCTCAATGTTTCTTGAGGAAACAGTGGGTTATTTCCTTTAAAAGTAATCATTTGATTAATTTTTGTTCTTATTTTTACCCAAAAAACCAACAAGTGAGAAAAAATTTTGCACTTTACTGTTATTCTAAAACACAAGTGCAGTGGCCTTTTGTAAATCAAATTTGCTCTGTTTTTTGTCTTAAAGCTTTTCTGTCAATAACCAATTTATGTGCTCATATCGCCATTGTTTATGATATAAGGTATGTAAGTTCATTGTAATGAATAATTATTAAAAGATATATAATTTAGCATTTGAGTCAAAATATTTGCATTTTTTTGTTTTTATTAGAAACAAGACAAATGTAAAAATGTTATTTGTTTTTACCTTGAATTCTGTTGACATATTTTCGACATTTGCTGTTTTTGAATTAAAAAGGAGTAAGTATGAGTCTAGCAAGGATTATATTTTCTATTTACCTATCTAGGTGAATTCAATGACTTGCTGAAAGGACAAAAGTAACAAGAAAATGCTTGTTCTTCATTTTTGCTTTTTTGTTTTTCATTCCAGCTATTTATTTTTAAATGTTAATTCTCTTATTTTTTCATAAAGGGTTTTTGCAGCTTTCACTTTCATTGAAATACTGAAAGAACAAAGAGTGTAACTCATTTGTATATTTGAGATTTTGAAACAAGGAAGTCCTGTAAGCAAAGTGAGGAAGGCTGAGTCGATCTTTCTTCTATAAATCAACCAGTTACTACATAAAAATACCAACTGTCCAAAACAATAGTGACATTGTGATTACATGAATGGGCTAACTCGGTGAAAGCAATAATTTAAAATATGGCCTTAAATCTATTTCTTGTTTCACCTGCTGCCTGTCTCTTCTCTTGCCAATATGAAATTCTCTATCTCTCTCGATTAGGATTTCATGCCAATTTTCCTCCTCTTCAAGTAGAAATTGGTTTATTTACATTGTTTGGGCTGTTGTCCTCATCTTTATTGTCATATTCACAACATTTTAGCCATTGTATGCGCTGGCCTTCTTCAGTTGATATACATTGGAATTTCAAACCAAACCCTTTATTTCATCCACTGGAGCAGATTGTTCTAGTTCCACTTGCCATGCCATTTCTGGATATTTCAATTTCAGTTATTTCCCTGGAACAATCTACCCCAGTGGACTAAATAAAGTGTTCAGTTCAAAATTCCAACATATATCACCTGAAAAAGGCCGTAGCATACAATGGCCCAAAACATTGTGAATATGACAATAAAGATGAGAACAACAGTCCAAACAATGTAAATAGTGTAAATAGTTACAATACCTCATCTCAGAAATATAGACAGATATAGAAATGGTATGTTTTAATTTTTTCCAAACACTCAGTATATTTCATATATGGACTTAAATGCAAACCAATATTTAATTCCAAATCTGGGATGACTTTATACTTATCAAGAGTGACTTATATATTGGTAATTCTGGCCTGCTGTATGTTAGAATGATTATAAGAGAACATGTAACAACAAGACCCTTGTTCAGTGCAGAACAAACCTGAATTAATGCTTGTTTTCTCTTTTGATCTCTTTTCAGATTTTCATATTATTTTTCCATCACATATGCAATGCAGCAATCAGTGCCTCTTCTGACCTACATCAAGTGGCCATTTTTTGAAACTGTCTATGCAAGTTTATTCCGGTGTCTGACTGGCCCTCCACCATAGCTTCCCACTCACTATGGCAGCCATGGATTCTCTGAACCATGACACTTACACAGTTAACTCTGAGAGCGATAAGATATCTCTCAATGTGAGTTTGCTGCCTCTGTCATCTCCAAGTGCTTCCAACATAAATGTACAATCAGTAGAAGTGAGTACACAGTCACTGACTGACAAAACTCTATACACAGCACTGCCAGAAATGACAGCAAGTGATAATTCCAACAATTATGTACTTATTAATCTTCAGGAACTTCAAGACAAGGTAAGTAACAACATTAAATGTTTGGAAGATTTTAAGCAAAGCCTCAAACATAAATTTTATTAAATTTTATTTTAGATACTAAATTTGATGTTATACAACACCCCCCTTTTTTTAATGTATATCTCCTAAGTTTTTTATGTGAAGTCAAACTATCTAGTAATGTTTACCCAAATGTCATAGACATTGTTGACTTGTGTCTTACCTAACTCCATAGAATAATAATATTAAATATAGGTCTTCAAATATATTAATTTTATTTATTTTAGACATGTATAGGAAAATTAATGACAGGATGGAAAAAAGCTTTTATGTGACACATTTTCTCCTTTAGGACTTCATCAAACTAAAGTGATGTTTACACTAGTGTCACTACACATTCGTATGAAGGTGAGCTTCAAATTTTAAACTTCTAAATTTAAATTTCAGTGTGTCCCTTCCCTTGATGTGCATATGTATTTGTTTTGTTTGTTTTTTTTTTAAATCAATTCACCCTCAGCAAGGCAATAATGCCACTAAGACACAAAGTGCTACTGAGAGTGAAAGAGAATGAAAAGATTTTAGCAGAAACTGGAAACTCAATCCTAAACAAGAAACAACAGATACTGTTCAAGATTCTGGGGAAGAGTCTCAATGTAAACATCACTTTAGTCCAATGTAGTTCTAAAGGACAAAACATGTTACATGAAAAAAAATTTCAAATTTGTCATTGCTTTTCCTAACATTGTTCTACTATGTAGAAATTTATATATCATTTTTTCTCAGGCACATGTATATTATGTCTACTCCTGAACATGTTTGAGTTTTAAAATTCTAAAAGTTTTGTATAATTTTTATAAAATTGGGCAATTGATAAAATATTTTATGTATGGTTAGATGTGATATTGTTGTTGTTGTGTAATATACCATAATTTGGAAAGATATAAAACATACTTTATAAAATAACATTAGAAATTCTGTTGTATTTTATATGTGGAAGGCCATAATTACTAAACATCTTGTATTGTATAACACAATCTAAGAATCAATGTTGTCACCCATTTCACTTTCTGTTCACCACAGTATATTTAAGCATATACATTACTGTATCTTAGTGGCATTATCACCTTGCTTGGGGTTAAGTGTTTAAAAAAAAGGTATCTCAAAATGGAAGAGGAATAAAGTATCACAGATCTGACCAACTTCTGCTTAAACTTGAAACTAAAGATGGCAAATCTTTTAAAAATGTGCTAGAATTAATGAATGATGAAGGTAATATTTTCTTTTAGTATTTAATCCAGGGCCAGTTATATTAATAATGTCCAGTTTGTCTGCATTTGTGATGCAGCATTTTTTTGAATGACTTTGCCACAGTAGTTTCAGGGATACTCTGTTAGGCTTCTAATATCCATGTACATAGGCTGACCAGAACTTTCTAGTCTATCAGAGTGACTTGTGCCCCTCCATCAGTCACTGGTTCCAATTATTGTGAATAAACTTCTTGAATGGCTTGTTGATGCTGATGTCCAGTGGTTAAACAGCACTGTTCATCCAACCAAGAATGATGTCAAGATTGGATTTTATCAATTCTTCTTACCATTTTACATCAATGGCATCTGAATGCTTTGAGGATAAGTAAGGATGGCTGTTTCACTAGGCCACCTATATAGACCACCTAACTATTTTGATTCAGTTACACACTATTCTCAAGTCAAACCAAACCATATAATGAATGCTTGTCTGTATAATGTCTCCTTGGGCATGGTCCTTCTCTTAAAAGCAACATATATTGGCCAGCAATCGCTTACCATCAGCATGAATCAGTTTTTTTCATTACCAGTGGTCTTGATGTTGATTGTCTTCTGGCAGTCTTTAAATCCATTGTCTGTGCATAGAAGGGGTCAAAGCTCATTGGGATTTGATCTGAATTTCTAATATCTGACAGGTTATACTCAATGGTGTTCCATGGCCTGATCTCCTGAAAGTACCATAAGTTATTTTCAAAATCTGTCAGCAATTTCTGTACAATGTGAGGTCATCAAGGAACTAGTAAATTATGTTTCTCTATAAAGCGCTGACACCACCCAACAGTGGCTATGAAGTTGACAAGCATTGTTCCTATCTTTGTAATTTCCAGTGCCTTTCCTCAACCACTCATCTATCTAACTTCAGAAATGATATTGATTTCTCTCTGTCTGCCTTCCACGTCAATATGTACTGAAGTTTGGATTTGTTTTTTTGCCAAAGTCAGATAATTACCCTCAGATCATCTAAGGTGATGACTAGCTATCTAGTTCCCATTCTCTTCTGCATATCACAGATTTGCCTTCAATTTTCCTGCTCTTATGTAAGAAGATAATCCCTTAGACATTATGGACAAAGTAACAAACAGTTATGTGTCTATAAGGAATTTAGCTTGCCATAAAATTATGAGTGGAATCACATTATAGCTCACTGCCAGTGACCAATAAATGATAGAAATTTGTTGGTTGTGTTGCAGGAACGTGTGTCAGGGGCATGAAACTGTTGCAGTTGGTACATATTGAAATTGTTGTGGTTGCCAAACTGTTGTGGTATGTGTATATTCAAATCACATTGGCAATTACCATATGTTTCAGACACTGCTCCTAGTTAGATTAAGCAGTAGCAACATCTTGTACATATTAGTGTCATAGATCCTCATCTAGCACTAATATGGTGATGGGGGATACAACCAGCACCAGGCTAAGATCCATGTATTCTGCTCGATGATTCGTTTATATCTTATATTCCCCAAATAACCTTCCGTTATGGGATCACTGAATAAATATTAGGGTTATTTCCCTTACATCATTAAATCATCGGCAGATAATATAAAAAGAAAAGAAAGTAGGTGAAGTCTAACTCAATTATGGTCTAACTGAACTGGGCTTCCCCGGGTTCTTGGAATAACACATTCAGCCGACTGGTGACCATAAATGAACGAAACAACATGATGAACAATATAATATTTAATTAACAAGAGCATGTATATGGCGACGACAATAAAGACATTATATCATGTGAGCTACAACATATATTTGGTTGGAATATGACAAATATTAACGAATGCAATGTTTCACACATATACAGGGGTATAGTCTCAAGTGTCTGGTTTTACGAATATGGAAAGGTGTGTGCAAGAACATAATATTATTGGGTGTTTGCGAATCATAGTAATACTGGGGTTTCTAGAGTATACACTTATCTGAGATATGCATTTATTGACCAAAGGTGATAATAGTCTCTTTTCTTATATTCTTGATTCAGTGACTGGAGCTTTAAGTTCTCAACTGGGATCACATTCTCTGCCTTATGTTTGTATTTCAGGATTTCTTCTTAAGGCGATGATCTCCGAGGGGTTCAGGCCAATTGTGTCTGGACTATCTTCACATTCTTGGCATTTGAGTGGCTGGTCTGCTTCTCCGCCTCTGGGAATGTGTTGTCTCAGCGTGCGACCTGGGACATGGACATTGGCGTGACTTTACGTCCACTGGTCTCTCCGATAAACTGCTTTTCGGTTTTCTCTTCATGTGGGCATCTTCTTTTTGGCGCCTAATTTTCTCGACTGCTGATTGGCTGCTTTTGACCAATCGCATTGTTTCTTTTATATGCTATCTTACTGGGTGTGAATCTATTTTTAGACTTCGCCTACGCGTGTTTCTATGCGTGTCTACTTTGGGTTCTGTTGTGGGAGTGGGAAATAATGTATATATGTGGGCTTGCATTCGTCACATTAGTGACAAGTGTAAGAAAATGGAATGGATTTCCACATGGTGATATTTTATATTTTTTTTGTTTTTATATAACTGAGTAAAAAAGAAAGATAAAATACACAGTATGCATGCAAGAGAAGACATTAAAAGTGAGGAATTTTTATGGGTGCTACACATATGCATGAATGGGTGAAAGTTCAGCCATTAAGAGGAAAGATATCCCCATACCTGGGGAGGTCCCAGTTGTCATTGTCACTTCTACCAAATGCTAGAAGGAAAAAAAAGACAAGTGGAAGTGTCCTGTTTTTATAGGTGCTCAACAGTGCTACCTAATGACTTTTTGGCAAAACTGGCAAAGCTTGATAATCCACAATAGTAACGTCTATTTCTATTATATGCCGCTACAGAAATAGCCAATAACCACTGGAATGTGTATTTTTATTTTTTTATAATTTTCTTTTTTCTCATTTCACCACAAGTTTGTTGCATGTTTATATGAAAATGTCTATGCATTTGCTCTAAATATTTTGTAAGTTGTGTTTCAAAACCTAATATAAACTCTATAAATTCTTATTTTTAGTCATTACAGACAAAATAAAAAGTTGAACAATTGTTAAATTTAGCTACTACAAATTCTAAAAATCAGTGTATATTATCCATGAATTTTTTTTCCAAGAATTTCATGGCACAATATTAGAAGTGTGTATTATACATGAATAATTAAATGTGTTTGTGTGTACATATATATTTAAACAAGTTTTGTTAAATTCAACTAACAATGTCTGTCTGTCTTAATTTTTTATTGTATTTTTTTCCAATTTTTGAATGAGATATGCACCTGAATAAAAATTGTAGATAAAACTGTTCAAATTTTGTTTTGTTCTGTTTTTGTTTAAGTACTTTTGACCATTTCAGTCATTATCAAGAACTGGATATTGCCGTTATGGTAGACAAAATTTTGTTGACAAGATCTTGACATTTTTTTTTGTTTTTTGGAATGTTTGATTTCAAATGAATCCAAATATACATGTATCATATAAGTGATGTTATGTGTAAAATGGTTTCCCAGAGATCAACTGTAGCAGAAAAGAATGTATCAAATATTTATATGTATTATAATTATTTTATATGCATATTAAAGTATTTACATTGTTCAGACTATTGTCCTCATCTTTATTGTCATATTCACAACCTTTCAGCCGTTGTACACTCCGGCATTCTTCAGGTGATATATGTTGGAATTTCAAACTGAACCGTTTTTTTAGTCCACCGGTGTTCCATGTGCCATGCCTTTTCTGGATATCTTCAAGATTTTGTTCACTCTGCTGTGGCCAGGTATTGAACTCAATTCAACCAATGCTTTTATCTACTGGGCCATGTAGACATGTGCATATTAAAATATCTTAAGTCTTTCCTTGCATTGAGAACTGTATAGTATTTTGATCTTATCTACTAATATTTGTCTTAGATTAATTGTTGCATTTTGGTTGTTTTCAATGGGATGATTGACATGTGCACAAATTGTACTAAGCTTCAAAAAGGCACAAGACAACCTATGAGGAAGTGTGATACATGCATGACCATGACCAATGTAAGAATTTCATTTTCTTTCTTATTATTAAGATTGGAAATGCAGTCTCCTAAAGGACATGAAAATTAATGAACAACATTTCTAGCATTCCAAAACAATGTCAGGATGTAGCCAACACAATCTCCCATACTGACAACACCCAGTTCTTAATAATGACTAAGACATTCAAAAGTACTCTAACAAAAACAATGAATTATGAACAGGTTTTCACAATTCTGATTCAGATGTACTATATCTTATTTGAAAATTGGAAAAATACAGCTAAAAAGTTAAACAGGCATACCTTGTTAATTGAATTTAACAAAACCTATGTAAATGAACTTATATATAAAATTGTATATTTGGCCAGCAATCCCTTTTTTATGCAAGTTTCTTTATGATGACTAACAAGATATTACAATTAAGCTTTTTACTCAATTTCTCTTGTCTTCATATAGGTATTTTCTTTTCAAAACATAAAGTGTATAAAAACTATCAAAATGTTCTATACATCCAAGTGCTTTCAGCTATTCTATTAGCCGTTATCAAGGATGTTTCTGTTTATTTTTAACTGAATATGTAGATTTTTTATATATGTGTATCTGTAATGACAAGAATGTTTATTTTCCAAACATGGTCACCATGTTGTGGATGTGTGCATAGTTAGTATTATTGAATGTTGGCTTTTTCTTTCTTATTACTAATGCTCCCATTATTTTTAACTGTTTTTTGCATGTGAACGAGGCTGTTGTGGTTGTATTTTCCACGCGTATGTTGTGAACAGAGTTTGGTAGGTTTCTGTATCTTTTTAAATGGGTCCTAATGGAGTTATGGTCTGAGATATATAGCATGGGCCTTCTTGATAAGCATGTAGTGGTATGTTCAGTATACTTATTCATGAATCTGTTTTGGTCAGGAATGCAGTTCCTTGAGGGGCATATAAATAATATTGGTCCTCCATATCTCCACATATATATATATATATCATTGTGTATTTGGGTAGCAATCCCTCATTTATGCACATTTCATTAAAAACAACAAATGTTCTTATTATAATCTCTTTTAATAAAAATATAATAATATATTGGTCTACTTTTTTTTTTAAGTAAATGCTATGAACTGTGGATTTTTACTCCATTTGTTCTTTCTCTCATTTGTATATATATCAGTGTGGCTAGAAAGCTGATCGCTTCAAGCCGGGACCAAAACCCGACCGATTTGGCATCAGTCAGAGATTCTAACCCCTCGGCTATCAGAGCCAGACAGAGAGAAAAGTAAATTTTTGCATATTTATTTTTTCATAAACAATCCAGTGACCTAGAGCACTCAATCCAATGGAAGAGTCTGGCATTATTAGCAGTAATAGTCACTATCTACAAATTCACACTTTCTCTCCACAGTGCTCAACCAAATTAATTTTTTTCCTGGAGCTTATATGCAACCCAATAAGTTTTCAGTCTAATGAGGAAAAAAGTATTTATTTTACAAAACAAATATTTACTTTTATTGTCAGTGCACTTGACTTAGTGCTCCTCCATTAGTCATTTAAATCAAATATACAGTGAAAATCTCAGATCAAAATTCAACTATATTGATCCATCATCATCATATATAAAATTTCATGGCAGATAGAAAGATAAACCTTAAAGAAAAGGTGATAGTATTTCAAACATGAAAATCTAGAACTGATAATATACAGTTCTACTTTCTCAAAACATCTGCTGCTTTTCAAAGAGCAAAAAGACATCGTCAGTGGTCATCTGTGACCTGAGAGATTCGCACTGATTCATCTTTGCATTTAAAGAGTAAAAAAAAAACCCCTTATTTTGGCAGGTTTGGAATGAAATGGGTACACCTTTCCTGGTTTTAACAAATAATGAGAAAGGCAATGTAGAAGCCAAAGTTTTGTACAACACATCATCAGTTGGCCTGATCAAGTTACCTGCTAGTGGAGCGAATATTCACACAGTGGCACAGTCAAGTGTTATGGTACAGCCGACAAACAAGGCAGTAAAACAGCCTCCAAAGACCTTGATCCGTGTCTCTTCTGAGCAAACAAACTCTGTCAGCAAAACAGAAGCCCCCACACAAACCTGCCTTGAATCAAAACAGCTGCTATCAACCTTTGCCTCTTGTGTCAGCACCACCCCAACTACTGCTGTTAATACTGTATCCGTTGCCCTTGGTACAGAGCAAGTCCCCACAGGTAAGTGATCCAGAACACGTGAAATGAGAAAGGACAAGAAACAAATCAAAGTAACCTTTTTAAGAATTAAAATACTGATGTTACATTTGAGTATTTTACCATGGCTGTCCTGAAACCATCCATTCACACATACTCATTAAATAAATGATCATTGCTCCCCACAAATTCCTGTCTTTTGTTGCTCTAAATAACTTCAGACTCCTTATCATACCTTTTTGTCACTGTTCTGCCATCCACTCACACAAATTTGTTAAATGAGTAATGATGACTTTCCACATGATAATCACTGAAGTTAAGCAATGTTGAGCTCATTTGGTACCTAAATGGGTGACCATCTGGTAATACTAGGTGCTGTAAATTTGGATGTGCAGGTTGGGATAAATGATAAAGGCTTGGAAATTGTTAATTTGAGAGCCAAGCTCTAAATCCAGTCAGGTTCGTTATATTCACTTACGCACAAGTGCACTTTTGAAAGGTATGAATCCATATTCTCCCCCTAGCTATGTGTTAATTAGTAAAACTTCTATCACTAAATCATTATTATCTCAAAACAAAATTCTTACAATCTCAAAATATTTTTTGCCTTTAAATAACCTGCAATGGGTTGATAAGTTGTAAAACATGAATGAATCATTCTTTATCCTTGTCCTGTCATCCATTCACACAAACTTGTTAATTAGGTTATTCACTGTTTCTCCTTATTTCTCTTAACTTCAATACATCCATATGAGTTTTAAATTCTCCAGGCCCTCTGCCATCATTATGTATCCCAAGAAATTTAACTCTTTCTGATTTTAAGTACAGCTGTCCTTATAACTCCTATTTCATGGTGCATGCATCATTAAAACTAAGTGAGTATAAATATTGTTTTTTTTTTTCCTTTTTCTATAAGGCATAAAAGTGACAAAAGGCTGGCCAGTGGTTAATGATCATTCCTTTATGTGGTTACCATTTATACATAAATTACCTGAAATCAATTCTTTTAGCTGCTAAGAAAGGAGAATAATTATAAAAATTTTATTCTCTACTAAATCTAAGTCCTTGTGCCAAACACAAAAATATAGTTAGTAGGAATAACAAGTCATAATAGGTGCAAATCACAAAATAAGAATCAGCAACTGCATAAAATTTTGAAAAGAAAACACATTTATTACATAATTATGAAAAAGGTACAAATAAAAAAATTTTGTGCATCTATTAAGGCAGGATAACAATTTCTTTTAAAAAGATTACCATTGAAAAATGGAAGAAATTACAGTTTGAGAAAAGACAAGGATTTTGAAAGAGCAAACAATTCAAGAAGACAGTAAAAAACAAAGGTACAACTAACTTTGAGAAAAAAAAAAAAAAAATGCCTGCTTGTCCTTACAAGCATCTCTGAGACAGTAATTTTTGAAGTCCCTTTTAAAATCACAATGTTCGTGCTTGGGAAAATTTCCTTAAATTCTTTTTTGTTCTTGGCTTCCAACCACATGAGAATTTTCACTTGAACTTCAAAATTCTTTAGTCTTTCTGCAACTGGCTGGTGTCTTCTTGATACCAAAAACCTTCTTGCACTTTGATGTTGATTTGCCTTGTCCTCTTGCTGTCAAAAAGTCTTTTCCTCGCATCTACTGATCTGAGCTCTATATATTTGGAAAATTAGGCTCACAAGGCCCCCTCATTTGGCTTGTTACTAGAGCTTGAGACTACATCTCTCATTGATTATTATATACAAAAAAATATAATTTTCAATAAATTGGAAATGGATCCTTCACAAATTTTGGAAGGTTTTAACCATTGAACCAAGAAAGATAAACAAGTGTAACAATTTTTTACACAAAAGTGTCTGGCCTTCCTAAAATTACACGTCTCTCAAAATAGCATTTAGTAGCAAAAACAGCCTAGATGTTTAAATATTTATTCAATGCTAATATTTTTATATAATACTAACAAGGAAAGTTTTTAAGAAAAAATGTTGGTTGTCAAAAGTAGATTGAGTCATGAGTAGATAGACTTGCAGAAGTGGCTATAACTTATGAAATCATTAAAAACCTCATTATTGACATGAACTGGGCCAAAGAAACTTTATTATGATGACAGTTTTTCTTTTAAATATGATTAAACAACATCTTTTGCTTGTTTCTTAATATTTCAGGCTGTACAAAGACTTTTCCGACAGTTGGATACAAAAAGTACAATCAACAAACTTCTCAGGGTACACAACGATCATTGGAATGTTCTTTTGAAGGTTGTGGCCGAAAATTTTCTTGGCCTGCACACTTGAAGTACCACCAAATGACACACACGTAAGATTGAAATTGACTTCATTTTAATGTCTTCTACCATCATTGGGAAATTTACAAGAGCTTTCTATTATTATAATCCTTTCCTAATATACATTGTTGGTACATTTGTGTAGTAATTGGCCATGGTTAAGTTTATATGGCAAAAATGCTCAACAAACAGAATTGATAAAATTTTCAATAAACAATAAGAAAAGGGAGAAAAAGAACAGGGCAAAACAAATATATATGCAAATCAAAACTAGGCAAAGCAACAGTTGTGTTCTCATTCGAAAAGGCATATAGTCAAGCAATTGTAGTGTTCTGACTTCAAGGCAAGAAAGAGAAAAAATATGGTGGATGAAATCAAGAAGTGATCCATTTTTATATGTTAAGAAGAAATCCCAGCATGCATCTGTATGATTCGTCTATAAATTTGGTGAGGGGGATGTTTTTAGCAATCATTCCCCAGAGATTTGAACCAACATTAAATGAGCTTATATGCACAATAGTAGGTCAGAGTGTCGAAAGACAAAGTGTCACATGGACTAAGTATGAAGCAAACAAAGTGTTTTAGGGACAAAGTGCTGAACGGAAAAAGAGTCAAACTGACTAAAAGACATAATGTCGAAAAAAAATACAAAAAATATACAACTGTAAACCAAAGATTAAAAGGCATTTTTGATAGATACAACATCAGTACTGAATTCTGAAAGCCATCACTCACAATCTTTAATTATATTTTGCTACAGTTGCAATTTCCTCATAAATAAAAAAAAAAGTTTTTATTCTTTCCACAATTATAATTTCTCATAAATAAAAAATTTAACTCTTTACTGCAGTTAATCATAGGTGACCTTAATCCAACAAAGTGTATATTGAAGTCAACACAGTGAGGAAAGTCTGTTCATGCTTAAACAAAATCGTCAGGCAATTCAAACTGGGTGTTGACCCCAATGTCCACTTTTATATTTACATAAAATCTATCAATAAATATAAAAACCTTAAAATTATATTTTATCTTTGTATATATATATATATATATATATATATATATATATATATATATATATTTATATATATATATGTTACTTTTTTTAATTTTTGACACAAAATCTTAAACTTTTCAAAAGCTGTCCATTATTTTGGGGATAGACATCATAATTGAAAATCTGATTTTCCTATAATGTTTTTAAACAGATGTATTCATTTCTTTTCATTCCACAACTTCATTCATAAGCATCTTACTATTCTCTTTCTTATAATCAAAAAGCAAACTTCCACCTGAATGTTAAAGACAATAAACCATATTTACAAATATAAAGTAAAATGATGTTAATTTCATATTTGAGATCATTTAGCTGAACTTAGAAACTATTTCTAAATTGATTACAAGATTCATTATTTTAAACTTAAAAATAAAAATAAATCTCTATTTCCATTTTTTTTTTCCTTAAGATGAATTTTTATTCTTGCCATGATGTCCAATTTCTCGATTCCAAACCAATCCAAAAACGATTAATGTACATACACCAGACTAGTCACAGAAAATTCCTGTTCATTAGATGACGGAGATCTGCCTAGTTTCTGGAGTTGTATCTCTCAAGTAGTACCTCTTCATTGCATTGAAGCAACTGGGCAATGTTTTGTGACTACCCATGTATTTGAGATCCACCATATTAAACTAACCTCATTTACCCTTGGAGGAAGACATATAAAACAATTTTTTTTTTGTTTTGTTTTTTTTATTGGTGTCACCCAATGCAAGGTAGTAAAGCCACTAAGACACAAGGGGTTACAAGGTGTGGAAGAATTATGAACAGGAACATCAATAATGAGCAAGAAGAGGAAAAAAAAGTAATCAGGAGGACAGTAGACAGCAATTTACATTGCATTTAAATTTTTGAAGATTAAAGTTAGCTGGAAAGCATGGAGCTGAAAGGGCGTTCCAAAAGCAAGAACTCTGCAAAAAGAAACTGTTAGCATAGCATTTACGGCTACATCGAGTCAGCTCAACTGTAAATTGATGAAATCTCAATGCCAGTTGCACTTAAATTCTAGGTACCATAGCAAAGAGTTAATAGTAAAAACTCTGCCAATGCAGTTTTTCACACAGCAATAAACATTACCTATTGGCTAATGATAGTTCTTTCAATGGTTTACACCATAATATGGTTTCATTAAAATATTGACACATTTTTTAGATTAAGATGTCATTTTTATATGATATGGCTTTGTCTGTTTGTGCCTTTTTTATTTTATTTTTTATTATTTTTTTTTTATTTCAAATGAAAACATTTTTGGCATTCACATAAATAATCTTTCTCTGATACTGATCCACAATACTAATTCCTCATTCCATTTCCTTTTCACATATTCTTAGATGCCAATTCCCAGACATTGCTCTAAACTCCAAACAAGTCTTATAACAACATATTTTTATTAAATTTTATAAATCCTCCCACCAAACCTAAAGTAAGTCATCATGTACTACAACTCCATACACTATGACTACGATGAATGCTGACATCCTCTCTTACCACCTGTATTATCACATCCTAATAAATATCACATCCTAATAAATATCACATCCTAATAAATATCACATCCTAATAAATATCATGTAAAATAAGCTATGCAAATGACACAGTGTTAATAGCAGTCACAGAAAGGAAACAAGTACTTTTAGAGAAGGTCGTGAAGAAAAGCAAAAAGAAAGGACTAAACTAAATATCATTTGCAAGAAGACAGAATACATAATTGTTAGCAAAAGGAACAACCTAACATGCAAATTACAAAGTGGAGATGCCAAAACCAAGCAAGTAGAACATTTTAAATATCTGGGAAGTGTTTTAACAAAGGATGGAAAGTGCAACACTGAAATCCAAAGGCACATTGGGATAGTAAAAGATGCCTTCCAAAAACTAAGCAAAATATTAAGAAGCAGAAAGATTTCATTAGAAACAAAGAAAAAAGTACTGAACTGTTACATGATATCTGTCCTCCTATAGCAGTGAATGCTGGATAATATGAAGGGACTTGAAGCAACAGAAATGATGTTCTGCAGAATTGAACATGTGAGCAACGATGAAGTGTTAGAGAAAGTGAAAACAAAAAGGATATATCAGAAAGACATAATTGAAATTTCTAAGGCACATAATGAGAAAAGATGGAGAGAAAATTTGATACTCACAAAGCATATTGAAGGCCATAGGGACAGAGGAAAACAACACATAACTCGCCTTATTAATATAAGATTTGCAAGTTAACCATTGATTACTTTAACAATGAGACTAAATTGGTATCCAGACCAAATCCAAACCAGGATCTTCTTGCTCCAGTTGAAGGAACCCCTCCCTGATTGACCCTTCAGAGGTGTAACCTGTACTCACCATGCTTGGTCAATTGCGGGTTGATGTGGCTATTTAACCCATAGTTTGGGGATGGATGGCCATTGGAGTTCATGCGCCCTTTAACAGCTCTTGTTTTTTGTGCTGCTGGTGTTCCACTTACCCTCCACCAGACCCTGGTCTGGTGGAGGAACCAGTTTAGTTGCTGACCACTTAGGTTTGAGTTGTCTTTCTCCTAGACTGGTTGCCACACAAGGCTATAGAACCCAGTCTATGAATTCATATCTTTCCCAAGGGTATTTGCATGTAAGTGAATGTAATGAACCTGATTGGAATTCAAACTCGGCTCTCTGAGCCACTATCCATTATTCAACCATGCCTCCATGACCAATAAGTGTAAAACTCTATAACCAAAAGAGTGACTGTCTATTCTTCATCTCAATCCAATACAACTCATTTGGACATCATCTAAAGTCCAAAATAACTGGCTACAAGAATGATTTCCAAATGTATTTATTTGATATAAAGACTTAGTACCACTTGAGTAATTAGTAATCATAGATTAGTAAGCCAACTATAAAATAATCAGGAAATAGTTTTGTTAACATCACTTGATTTGTAATCAACAATTTATGAAAAAATAAACAGATAATCATTTAAGAATCCTTCAAAGTTTAAACTTTTATGTTTGTTTTTTTTTTAGTGGTGAAAGGCAATATGCATGTACATCTGATGGCTGCCTGAAGACATTTTACACATCCCAGCGATTGGCTGTCCATATAAGAACTCACACAGGAGAAAAACCATTTAAATGTCAGGAAGAAGGCTGTGAAAAGGCTTTCACAACAGCTGGGAACCTCAAAAACCACATCAGAGTCCACACAGGTAATATGGCTACTTCATATAGAGCACAACCATTTTATCTCATCTTAAATAATGCTTAAACATGATTATAGTTGAAAAGCACATAATCAGGTAGTCTGAAGTTCTATCCACAATACTAGGCTGATCTGTTTCATTACTTGTCTCAATACTTTTTCTATAATATTTCAAGGGATTTCATCAGGAAAACATTTGGTAGTAACAGACATGTTTCAGAGTCTCTTAAATTATATCAAATGGAAAAACTTGCCTGGAAATAAAAAAAAAACTTAAGTTGAATTGTCAAAAATCTGTTTAGAATTTTCTAGTTATCAGAGATGAGTATTTTTGTTTTTATTTTCCATTGGCTATTTAAAACATTCATATACTCTTTATTTTTCCATTGCCCATTTAAACTGCTTATATATTATTTTGCTTTTCATTGGTTATTTAAAATGCTTACATATTCTTTCCATTGGCTATTTAAAATGCTCATAGATTTTAGAAAATTCAGCTTATTTTTTTTTTTGAATTGTAAGTTTAGAGGTGAATTTTTCTCAGGTAATTTGTGTCTGGTATTCTTCCCAGCCGTTGGTACCATAGAACTTAAGACTACCTGTTTCCTGTTACTTGGAGAGGAAGTGGACACACCTGCTCTAGGGTGGCTGCAAAGAATCCAATATGACACACATTTCATTTCCTAAATTATCTAAAACAAACCAAAAAGATCTGAAAGAAAAAGTGACATTTCTGATGTAATTCTTCATTTCTGACACTCATTCAAGCTATTGATTTTGTTTTCTGTTCTTTTGTTTAACCAAATTTTGAAGACAGTTCATTATTTTTCCTTGGAGATTTGTGGTTATAAAATCACAGTTTTAAAATTCACTTTCACATGAATCTTTCCCAGATACCCTTCTGTTCGCAAATATGTCATTTATTTTGACATAAATATATCTCTGCTTCCATTACTGGTCAGCTCTTTCTCCCTAAAAATATCACAGTCCCCCTCCATCTTCACCTTGACTTTATCAGTCAGCTATACATTATTTTGTTCTAAAGAAAATAAAACACTTTGCCTTATTCTGCAGACCCCAAATTCATAGCATTTATTTTCCTCGTTACATTCAAACCCAAAGAAAATCAAATCTAATATCAGTATTATCAAATATCAAATATTTTTTGTCAAGACTTCCTCAAAGTTTCAGAAAAGTATATTTTATATATTACATTACTATGAAAGAGCACTAATTAGTTTTTGGGGGGGAAAAATCCTTCAATTTAAATTAGTTTTTGAAATACAGCAAAGTATTCTGTTTATTGGAAATATTAAATTTAATCTATTAGCTTGAAATTAAAACTAAAATGAAAGTTTTGAGAAGTATTTTCATTTTTGAAAATTCATTTTAAACCTTAGGTATCGTGTTTTGTGGAGGTCCCTATATTAAATCCATACTTCAACACACGGTTTGATTTATGTTTATAGACATTAGTGCATTGCTTATTAAGTAGTATAGCAGAAAATATAATGAAAAATAATTAACTTTCAATAGATATCCTAGATACAAAATAAAAAATTTTCTTGTGAAAACCAAGTTGATTGATTTCTGAAGCTGAAATGTACAAAATTTGTTTCAATTTAATCTGACAAAATTCAACTCCAAGAATGAGTTTTGACTAACATGGTTACAAATAATCAAGAATTTAAATTCACTGTATATCAATGAAGCTCTATTCTTGACAAACAAAAACTCCCACACATTCAGAAAGTACCAATCATTCATTTCCATTGATCTCATTCTGAAGTTATTTTACTCCTTGTTGGTGTGATGCAGAGATGGTATTCCTGCCTTTTCCAAGGTTGTTAGTGTGAAGTGAATGCAACAGACTCAGATGAAATTAGAACTCCTGATTCCATTTTCTGCACCAATAGCCCTAAACTTTACCTACACCTCACTCATTTTTAAACTGCAATACGCAAACAAAATCTTTTCATTTCTTTTCAGGAGAACGTCCATTTGTTTGTAATTATATGGATTGTAGCCGAAGTTTTGCTGAATATTCCAGTCTTCGTAAACACAAATTAGTTCATACCGGTGAGTGTCAATTATTTAGACATTTATGACATTTTATAGAGAAATATTTACCATTTTAAATAAAGCTTTACATAATTTGCTGTATATTTTAGTTTTTATGACCTATTTTTTAAATCATCTTTTACTGTATCATTTAATATAAATATTAAAAACTTTTTTTTATACATTAAAGCATAACAATACAAGTTTTTTTTTTTACTGTTAAATGTCTGAGGTTAAGAATTGTTTCAAGCTTTTATAACCTTGCAAAACTATTATACCACTCTCCCTAAATTTTGGGTCTGTAAGTAAAGAATCAGGGCTTTATGTCTGGAATGTCAATTCACATCAAATCTTTTTCAAGTTCCTGCAGAGTTTGAAAATATAAAGCAGCTGCCACAAATCATTATTTTTCTTTTCACCATAATTCTGTGAAATTCTTTGTTGTTTTCTGAATGTTTTATTTGTCCATTTTTGATGGCATCTTTCTATACAGGTGAAAAACCTTTTATCTGTGATGAATGTGGGAAGAGTTTCTCACAAAGTGGAAGCCGAACAGTTCACATCAAACGGCATCATGGGATAGGTGCCAAGAAAGGAAAAGAAGGAGGAGGAGGAGGTACACAGCAGCAGCAGCAGCATCCACCAAACCAAAATGATTGTGCACTTGATAAGAAAGGCACCAACATTTTCATTCTCAGAAATGGAGTTGAAGAGCATGAAGGAATCATGCAGTATCAAGGTAATCAAGACCTCTTCCCACCCAACTCACACTCCTATCGATAATAAAAACCTCTCCTCTACCATTCCCCTTACCAAAGTAATGAAGACCTCTCCTCCACTGTACCCCTATCAGGGTAATGAAGACCTGCCCTCTCACCTAATATCAAAATAATAAACATTTCTATCCCCACTCCCACTTTCTTGTTTCTGACATTTCTCATCATAATCTATGTAAACATTTCATGAAATTTTTTTTAAGGTCATTAAAATGAATGTAAAGATCATGTCAATTGCAAATGGTTTTGTGGGGAAAACTTTCTTTTTATCTGATCCTAACTAGTTCTCCTCCTTCAGATGTAACTGAATACTCTGAAAATTTGCCCTGTTAAGAATGATATTTTTCAAAATTGGCTTGAATTTAAAATAGCAAGTGACAATCAAGAGGATCTCAGCTAAAACTTTCTCACGTCTAATCTTTATTTCATTGTTCTCTTTGGATAACAAATTTTGTGCGTCAAAAACACTAATCATTTTGAGAATGTGTTTTCTGTGTAGGTACTTGGAACAGAGGAGAAAGGAAAAAGCAACAAAATAATAAATGGCTGAAAAATTGAAACAAAGCTGCTTTTATTATTGGCATTGATATGGGCACATTTTCAGTAACAGTGGGGGTAAACAGATTTTGATTTTGCTAAAGGAGCTTGAATCTTCTTTATAATTTTATTGGGGGCGGGGTCTAAACAGGCAGTGTAATTTCTTGGGTGGGGGTAGCATCTGATAAAAATTACAAACAAAAAAAACATTTAAGACCTGAAGGCCACTGATTTAATTAATCATTGAGGAAATCATAAAAAAATTAAATGGCAAATTAATTTTCTTCCTTCAGGTTAGATCAGGCTACTGATAACCTGTAATCCAGTACAACCTGCCACATGGATGGATCGTTAGTGTTTAAACCAGATCCCCTACTAACTTTTCTACTGGTGATGAGGGTGGTATGTCACCCCCATAGGACAAAAACAAGACCTGTCAAAGATGAGCTTCTTAGAGGTACCAGTGGCCACCATATGTGTGTGTGTGTGTGTGTGTGTGTATATATATATATGTGTGTGTGTGTTTTATTAAAAATGACTTACCAGGCACTGTGGTTAAGTATTTTATTTAATTTTCTTTATGTTCTTATAATTTTCTTCTTTTCTGGACATAAATTATGTAGACATTGTCTGAATGTTCTATATATCCAAGCACTTTCTGCTATACTTTAGCCATTATCAAGGATGATTTTATTTTTACTTTTAACTGAATGTATGTATCTAGTTATAGGAATGTTTTATTTTCCAAACATTGTCTGCACATTGTGGCATTATTAATAAAAAATGAAAAAGTCAACACTTAATAACATCAGCTATAAACACACTCACATTGTGTATGTGTGTATATATATATATATATATATATATATAAAAGGAAGGCTGAAAACAGCCATGTGTAAAAAGGTATAGACAACAAAAAGTACTCAATACAAAATTCAAAGTTGAATATGTAGAGCTAAAATATTTAAGAAATGGCTAAAATGCCAGCCTACCTTGCAACCTGTGTTTCAACCACAAGGTCCCCTTCAGGCAAGTGGAAGGATGTACAAGTTAGAAAACTACTCCAATATGCCAGAGTACCAGAAATTATGGGGTAAAAGTATGATAAGGGGAGGGGGCATATTTTATTGGGTTTTGTATCACTCATCCAGGTGCATAGGTACCTAAAAAAAAATATTTTCTTCAATGCTTGAACCCAGACATAATCTCCATTCTCTCATTTAATAAAACACCTTTATCAATATATGTGGCAATAGCTAATTTCTCGTCTTGGTATAACCAGCAACACTTACCATGAATTCTGCCAGGTTTTACCTTCCTTACAATGCTCAACCTCACACAAGGTCTTCTGCTATACCTCTCTTTGTATTTCCAGACACAATTAGCCAGCTTGGTGTCATTGCTATGATTTTTCAACCTAAAAGACAAAGCATGATTATAAAATCTCTTTTTGAATGGACCCTCAGTACATTCAATGTATTTTTTCTTGAAACCATTCTTATCACTGACCTCAGCAATATAAATGATGCATTCTGTGCAGCACTCCCCATCCAATAGACAACTATTATTATTTTTGCGGTTACATATCTTCTTTTCTTGCCTTCTGCCTCCAAAATTTTAACGTCAAGATTCTTAATTACATTCTCCAAGTTACCAGCGCAACACCTTAGTTAATAAAGAATTTTTAGAAAAATGTTCATCCAATAACTTAAAAAATATCTTTCCAATTTTGGTTTCCAACTGCAAATTAAAAGGAGGGTTAAACCAGATGGTATCCTAGCTTCTGGTTTTCAATTTAGACTAAGGCATGAGGAGTGAAAACCATTTTGGTAATATGACCCTCTTCTCTCAAAGCATTTTCATGTTCTTTTTTTCTTATAATTAAAAATCTCCCTTGTGGATGAATTTCTTGAGATCCTACATTCAATTCCCCTGGGAAGGTGCTTAATAACACTCACAAGGTGGTTTGACCTGGTGTTTATATAAGGAGAGCATTTGGTTTCATATAAGGTGAAACAGTACCAGCAGTGAAGTCAAATTCGACAATTTTCTTGTCCACTTCAACCATAATTTTGAAGCCTAATTCCTTAAATGTCTTAAAAAGATTCTTTTTATATATATATATATATATATATATATATATATATATAACTAGGATGGGATTTTAAGCCTTGAATGGCAACCTTCCTAGAGATGATGTCTTGATAAAAACACTCAGTGTACTTGGACTAGTGTGGGTGTCTGAGTATCAGGAAGAGCATGCAGCCTTGGAAAACCTGGCTTCAGATCATTATGGCAAATCCTTTGTTAGGCAGCACCCACTTTGCTTCCTGCAAGATTAATCCTGGTCCTGCCTCAACAAAAAAAAAACTGGCTACATATGTATGTTTTTATAAGGAATTATTTTGCCCAAGAAAGTATGAAAATTAAAATTTTGCATGTTTAGCTTGGGTTGATTTTTGTTTTTTTATTTCCATAAGATTTTCCTGGTGGTGAGTCTGTTGTATTTAGCCAAGATATGAGTGACCATGTTGTAACAGTGACTACTCAACCATATGCTGCTGAAGAGAGAGTCATTAGTGACCAGATTGTGACAGTGACCAGTCATCCATCAGCTCCAGAAGAGACACAAGACAGAGAGAACATCGACATGTCACAGGAAATACTCTCTTCAGGTTTGTACAATTCATTTGCATGAATTCAAAACTGAAGACAAAATGAAACTGTCTTAATCCATATTACTGACTAATTTATAGTGACACTGATTTCTACTTAACTGATTGTCATTTGAGATCATCAGGTGTTGTGTGAAGAATATTAATCTCTTCTTTGAAAAACTTATTTAAAGTTTTAAGGATATATATATATATATATATGCCTATCCTCATCAAAAGAAAAAAAATGGTGTTCATTTATCCTGTATCCTCCAGAACATTGAAGGTTGTTTGGATGAATTGCAGGTTTCTCTTAAAACTGAAACACCTTGGTCCTTTCTTTCTTCAACAGAAATGTTGCCTGGTGACAGCCTGAATAGAGTTTCCCTTTCATCAAACAGTGCCAATGTGATGGTTCTATCTCAGCCACAAGAGATGGTCTCTTTGGGTAGTAGCAGCAACAACACCAGCACCTACCATACCACCCATGCAAGTAGCCAAGGAACAGATGATATTGTTTATGAAAACGATTTGCTAGAAAATGACCTTGAACATAAGGAAATGTCTGCAACAATGGGCCACCATATCCTCACTATCTCTGCGTCTTTGTCACCGCAACAAGAACTAGCCGAAGAGACAGCCAGTTTGTTGCATTCAGCTAAAGAAGTGACACTTGATCCTATGATGGCATCAGATGAAGAAGAAGATGAAGATGCTTTATCCATTGGAATCCAGCAGCATACCAAAGTTGACTGAAAAAAAAAACTGTCTTCTATGAAACAAGCTTTTTTTTTATTCACTGAACCAAAAGGGCAGTTAGAAAAATGTATATTAATAATTTTTTTTATTTTATGCATGAAAGAACAAAATTATTTTGAGAGAACAAAATAGAATGAAAGAAAAATAGAATAAAATATTTCAGAAGCTATTTATTTTTGTATTATTAAGCATGAAATTTTCAGATGAGTTGTTAATATACAATGTTTTTCGGGATTGTCGTCATCTTTGTTAGTTTTGTTTTTTCATATCTTAGCTGTTGCCCTATTGTTTGGATTCCATTGTAAGGTTCCAGAAGATGAGGTGAATTGAATGCAATATTTGCATCTTTTATTCCAGTTGGGTACCAAAACCACTATTATTGCACCAATCACAATGTATTGTCCTAGAAGTTAATTTTTGATTTCCCTAATAAATTGAGTCATTCAATAAGTTGGGTTTATATGACTCCATCCCTTTTAACCAAGGAAGCCATCTTGCATATCTGATATTACCCCAGCTGACCAATCAAGACCAACAATATTTCTTGGTGTTTGTCATATACTGCTAAAAGGCAAGGGAATTTACTTAGTGGTGTCCATTGTGTGACAGACAATAATAACATAGTACCAGCAACGAGGAAAAATCCCTGACTTGAATGACCCTCACTTCTCCATCATCTGTCAATGACATGCCCATGATGAGTCTTGTCAAAACACCTGGCAACAGGACTGAGCAGAGAGTAGGGGGGAGGTTTGAATTCCATTTTCTATGCTGACAACTAATACACTTCACATATATAAAATATTAGTACTGAATTTTATTAATAATTTCACACAAAAGTTTAGTTTGAAAGCTTTCTTCTCACAAATTAAGCCCCCAAGCTTGTGAATTTGCCACCAATCCCTTCACAGACAAACATTACAGAATTGTTAATCTTATTAATTTAAACATAATATTTAGTAGAAACACGTTTAAGTAGATGTCACTGTTTTTGAAACAGTGTAAATTTACATCTACCAGACTGTGCATTTGAGAGTCTTAATAAAGAAAATGTGCCTTCTGTCAAGCATATGTCTCCTTATCAGGATAACCGCCATAAAGCCAGTTATGCTTATATACTGCTCAGCTGTGGAAAATTTTCACAGTCAAGCAAAGTTCAATTACCTATCTCTTGTTTGAAATGCTAAAGCATACACAACACATTTTGTTCTTCTTTTTAAACTAAAATCTGAATGCTATCTATAAAAGTTCTTTTATTGCATAAATGACCCACATGTGTGTCTTTTCTCTGTGAATTTTCATGTTCTCTCTTAATATTGACTCCAGTTCATGTTCCAACCATCCTCAGGTTATATGATCGCACATTGCAGGTGAGAAGTTCTTTCCACATTTTCTGTTCTCCCAGAAATTGACATCTGGCGTTTGGGATTTTCTCAAATTGCCGATTCATTGCCATGTTTCATCATGAATTCGAAATCTTTAAAACTCACTCTGCTGTCACCATTGCTGTCGAGTTCTCTGTAAACAAGAAAAGTTGCTTACATTTAGTTTCGGAATAGACCGATTTTGCAGAGAAAATAAAAAGTTCACTAAAATCAGTTTTTAACCTCTATCACTCTGGATGTGACTTCATTGGCTGTACAAAAAGTTTATCTTGCCACTGAAGAATAGTGTCTTTGAATTTCATAGTTGTGACATCATATCCTGCTATGGCAACAGAAAACATCTTTGAGTGAAATTAACAATAAGAATACTGCAATTGAGAGGCCTTGAAAAAAATGCTGTGGAAAGGGAAGTGATATTAATAATGCAGAGTGATAAAGGTTAAAAAATCATAATGAAATTCAAAACAATTACCGGAAAACTTTCTCAATCTGTTGGACTGGAAAATTGGGTGCAACCTGTGCAAAAACTTTCTTCAGGTCTTCCACTTTTAGGAAACCATTGCCTGTAAAATAAGAAATAATTTTGTAAAACATTATTTCACTCGCATTTGTCATTCCAAAAAGAAATTCCAATAAATAGGCATTACCTTATTTACATTGTTTGGACTGTTGTCCTCATCTTTGTTACCATATTCACAACATTTTGGCCATTGTATGCTCCAGCCCTTCTTTAGGTGTGTAACAATACAATTTCCTACACATCCTTAGGAAATAAGTGGATAGATTCCTTTTGAGTCAATTTGATTATCAGGCTTTCTTAGGAATTTTGTCTCCAGTCCATCTTTGAGTTAACTTAATGCTAGCCCACCTTTGAATTGGCAAACATAAAATTTTGTTAATGATTTTAGATAATCATAAAAGTCCTTTGAAAAATTGGCCACCCATCCAACTTTTGAGTCAACTTCTTTTCCACAACACAAGTGAACAGATAGGGGAGTGTGACCCCAGCCAGTATTCATATAAGCAGAGAGAGGCAGGAAGTCAGTAGTAAATGACCAGCAGCCAGTGAGAAAGGAAAGGACCAGCAGTGAGTGAGTGAGTAGGCAGTCACTGAAACCACAGGCAGTTAATTTAGAGTCCTTTCTCCATGGCCAGAAGTTAGTAAGATAACAGGCCACCTTTATGCAGCTGGAGGAATAATACCACAGTTAAGTGAGAAATCATATTGTTGCTATTTCCCAACCAGTGTCTTGAAAAGCATTTGTCATTATTCTTTGTTGGATTTGATCATGGCCAAGGAGACAAATCTGTGAACATAGCTAATCAGGTATATATGTACATACAACTGACTTTGGATATCATCACAGTTGTGCAGCAAGCAACGAGCGGAGTACATAATTACAGGTGATTGGAATTTCAAACTGAACCCTTTATTTTGTCTGAAACATCATGAATATGGCAACAAAGACTGGGACAACAGTCTGAACAATGTAAAGAATGTAAATAATTACAATACCTCATTTCAGAAATATAGATATTGAAGCATTACCTTCTCCATAAAAAATACACTCCAAAAAACAACAGTCCTTACTATTAGATTTTCACATTTGAGTCTAAATTTAAATTTCTAATGCAAGAGAGATAATTCCAGTACAGCAAAAAGTTACAAAAAACAAAACATTTAGTATATTATATATTATGATTGATAAGAGGTTGCATTATGAGGTTTGTTGAGATAGTAATTTATTTTCTGTTGCTGGTGGTGGATGGCGTTCAGGTCAAAGTCAGATCGACTGTTGATTTATACAGCAGTTAAGCAATCTCCTCTTGGGCAACTGACATAACACAGTCTTCCACTGTCCATTTTTGGAAAAATTAAAATAACCTTACTGAACATTCAGACACACACACACATACATACATATATATACATACTGTATATATCAGCATACAAGACAAATTTTTAACCTCCCCCTCCCCACTGCTATTTTATATTCCAGATATAACATATGAACCTTACATTCTGTGGGTATCACCATGAGAGATTTTTGATGGTAGGCTAACCCCTGCTTCGTAACTATCAACACAAATATTTTCTACTGAAACAACTTAATTTACATTATTATAATAATAAATGTTTAGTGTAATAAAAGTACTCTTACCTTATATAATATGTGGTATGATTGCACAACAACAATAAAATGCATATTTGTCATGAGAGAAATCCAAAACCATTGTGACAATATCTTGCCTCCTTTTTTTCAATGATATTGAACTGGATGTGCGTATATTTATTTATTTATCTTCTCCCAGTCTGAATATTCAAGAAATCTTATTAGAGAAAAATATGCACTCTCCAGCAGGATTCAAACCTATACTCCTCTAGGGAAAACTTATTAAATCTGACGTGCTTTGACCTCTCAGCTACAGAATGCATTGATGACCAAGCAAAGCCGATAGATAAAAATACAAAAAAAATCTACTCAAACACGAGTATCCACTAAAAATAACATTCAAGTAATAAAAATTTGTCAGATTAATAAATAAAAAATACATCCCCTTTCATTACAAATTACTTTGTTTATGTTAAAATACAAAACTGAACAGATGCGTCTATTTTGAGAGTCAGAGAAAAATTTGTGTTTAAAGGCACTATTCAGCTTTGATTGGTCATCAATGCATTCTGTAGCCAAGAGGTCAAAGCACGGCAGAACTAATAGCAGTTTCCCTTAGGGCAACATAGGTCTGAACCCTGCCGGAGAGATCATATTTTTCTCTAAGATTTCTTGAATACTCAGGTTGATAGACAGAAATAAATAAATCTACCATTTAATAAATAAACGGAGCTTCTACTCAAATATGAGTAGCCAATAAAAATAATGTTTAAGTAATAAATATATATATATCTATATCTTTCAAGATGAACTAAGAATTATAAAAAAAAAAAAAAAATAGATACCATAAATATTAACAGCTTTTTTAAAAGTCACTCATTTTCAGTTTTTTTTTTTTTTTCCCCATTACGAGAAATGCTAGCTTAGGGAAAACGTACAATGATTCATTATTTAAAAATACACACAAATACAAATACACATACACACATTTCTGTCTTCCATTTTTGGATCTGATGAAGCTTTGAATAGTGAAATGCATAATGAAATCTAGATTCAATGAAACATTTTCCATTTGTCAAATTTCTTAAAAACTTGACTGGTTACTTGGTAGAAGCTCATAATACAGGATTCCTTTCCAATCCCATGGGATGCACAGCATTTCTTTCTTTGGATAAAGACCTGCTTTTGAAGTGACTAAAGTTGACTCATGTTGCAGAATCTTTTTTGCTGAATATTGTTATAAATGATCCATTTCTCATCACCCATCACAATTTGCTTCAGAAAGGATGCATTTTCATTGTGTTTATACAGCAAATCACAAATGAAATTTGATCCAAAAGATTTTTTTTTACTCAGATTATGTGGTATCTAAGCATTGTAGTGATTTGAATACCCAAACTTCACTAAGTGCTAATGGATGGTGGATTTTGATAAATTTAGTGTTACTGCCAATTCCCATGTTGTGTAATAAGGGTTTTCTCAATAAATGTCTTGATTTGGTTATCATCAGTAGTGGAGAAGGGGATCTGTCTGAGTGTTCTTCATCAATAAAGCTACAATCACTAACTCTAAATTTAGCAAACCACTTCCGTACAGTTCTGTCAGCTAAAGCACTTTCATCATATACAACACATATCTTTTTTGTTGCTTGAGAGACATTTTTGCCTTTATGGTAAAAAAAAAAAAAAAAAAAGCATCAAGTGTCTAAAATGCAACTTATAATCTTCCATTTTCATAGGGATTCAAAATTATATCTGTCAATAAATGTGATGTATTTTACCATGACTAAAAATCGGCATGAACTTTCCGAACAATCCAATATTAATGCTCTATTTCTTAATATTGAGCTCTTTACTTGCAAAAACTGTTCACCTTAAAAGTGCTATCCTCCAGAAATACTTTGCTCAGCTTCTTTATTTTTTTATTTTTTTTGGAAACATATTATATATATATATATTGGCTGAGGTAGTTGCATTCCCTCTTGTTTGTGCCGATGAGGTAAAAAAACAAATTTTGGCATCCATCTTTCTTGAGAGACAATGGTGTAGTGCTCCACACTACAGGCCCGAGCAAAAACTATGGTGATCTTGAGCTGTTCATATGTCAAGATCCATGTCTCATTGTTGCTAATAGAGTCCATAGAAAAGGATAAACCAATAAAGTTTGGTACCGGTGCAGTTGTTGGAAGGGGATGCAGAGCATAATCCATTTTTCTTCAGGCCTCCAATCCAAATTTGTATAGGGTTTACTAAGTCTTCTATGTGCTGTGCCCCTTCATAATATTGGCGATCATGGCTCTCCACAATTTCCTGTCCTTTGTAGCTCAATAAATTTTAGCCTTCTCTTTTCACTAGGGTTTTATTATATACCATACCTATGAACACTAATGGGTATGTCCTAATCCTCATAAATACATTGGACACTATTTTAAGTGGTGGGGGGTAATATGCTGTCTAAGTAATCCATTACTAGCAGTGGTTTACCTACATCCACACCACTGGCAAGTATTGTATTTTGTTGATAAAGATTACCATTTCACTTCCAACCTCCGTTTTGGTTATTCCTCATTCACTAACCCTTTCTAAGGTTTGAATTTAGTTTTCTTTCTCCTACCACTCAAAGCAAGAATGTCCAACTGGCCCTGCTATTTAATCCATAGTGGGGGGGAGAAAGATTCATGTGTTTTTCCAAGAGCATGAGTATATCTGCAATATGACGTTGTCACTCCTGGGGTCTATCCAATCTTTCTGTTTGGTATTCACTATTGGTATCGATCACTTTGACCAAGCCCTACCTTATCCCACATTGTGTTTGATTTATATCATAAGGCTGGTGAGAGTTAATTGTCAAAAGGAATCATTGAACTAGTCCGGACCAGACAAAGTAAAGGTGCAAGTTGTTAAAAAAAAAACTTTGTGACGTTTGTTATACAGGACTAGTAATACAAATTTTGTTCCCCATGCAAGATATAGGTTCTTCACACAGGCATATTGTGAGATGCAAAGTCACTCAACCCTTCCTTCATTCAAATATTTCATGACATCTTGTTTGTCATGACTAAGTCTAGGCAAGGTCTCTGGAACACAGATCAAAGTCAGAGGCTTTCTTCAATGGCAGGAAATCACATGTAACGGTTGACTCTTGCTCTGCTCTTCTGGTCCCATTTCCTCTCGTCTCGCTTTGCACTCTGCTTTTTATGGGCCTTAGCTCTAACACAGAGAGTGGTAGGGATCTTAAGGTTTTTCCAAATTCTCAAAGTTTCTTTGTTTAGAATTTTTCTGTAACATTCTTAATTTTTCCCAGTTTAGAAGTTATCTCATTCTGCAAGTAGAGGGCACAGGCCTTGCTCCTCCCAGTTACTCCCACTGCCTTAAAGTTATGTCTCCTACCAGCATTTCTGATTGGTGGATTTTCTCATTGCCTGCGGACAATTTCCTAACCCAGATTTGCCTTTTAAACAATGATATCTCTTTTGGTCATTCAGCTTTACCAAATTCATTCTTTTCTGTTGACAAGTGATAAAAAAAAACAATTTTTCTTTTTCCTTTGTGGGAAAAGAAATCAGATGTTCCAGCCCCTCCTTTCTCTAAATTTACAAAATCTAATCATGTATTTTTGGTACGGAACAACCAAGGTGTCACAGTAACATGCTGATGATTGAATGCTATGGTGCAACACAATCTTCCAACACCAGCATTTAGATCTCTACAAAAAGTTTAGTAAATTCACAGGCATCAAGCTTAATATCATCTGTTTGTATTAAAATATTTTATATATATATATATATATATATATATATATTCACTTTTTATGACGAAAAAAAAAGCACCTGATCTACACATTTATAACAGAATCTGATTGAACCCACATTCTATTTGGGAAGGAAGGCCAATAATATAAGGTTTTATTTTTTTCTAGAAACAACTTTTACTTGACCTGCCCACCATGTTTATATATCCAATTTGATCTTAAAAATTAAAACCAATCAAAATCATTTTCAAAAAGAAATATTCATGACTACTGTATTTCTGCTAAATTGGATAAACTTTGATCAGTTGGTTTTGGACATTTAGGAAATTTGACTTGTTTTAACAATGAGTTTTCAAAAGCAAATGTTACTTACATTGCGAATCAAATGCCATGAATGTCTGTCGAATTTCTTCATCTTCATCTTTTACTAGCATTTTTGGTTTCATCACTTCCAGGAATTGTTCAAGATTCAAACCTTGCAAAAAATTGGTTAAAACCCATTAGTACCAACTTTTTTTTTTTTTTTGCTTTTTTCCCCCGAATAATGTTCACTCTGTCTAAGAGCCAGTCAAGGTAGAGGGTTACAGACTACAAGGCACAGTTTATGGAGATATGTGGGGAACATAACAGTTAACCCTAGACTTTAAAAGGTTAAGATTGTAGTGATCGGGAAAGCATCCTCAGTCAGTTCCACAAAGAGGTAAGAAGCATAGTTTATGTGGGGAAGATAACAGTTAACTCTAGACATGAAAAAGTTAAGATTGTAGTGATCGGGGAAGCATCATCTTAGGAGTCGGTTCCACAAAGTAGGGATTCATGGGAAGAAGCTGCTTCACCAACAGAATGCAATTTGGAATGTGAGTGGTTTGCTACAATGTGCCTCGCATGGTGGGTCTTAGCCATGAAGGTTCAAATCACAAAATTAAATGAAATGTCATTTAATCAAATTATAAATAAATTAGATTAAAACAAATAATTTATTAATGAAGTTATCTTGAGTTGGAATCAAAAACATATATATTATAAGATTTATATTTACATGCAATTTTATGATTGAACTCCTGCTTGTAAACATCCCTCATAACATTAAAAGATACAACTCAATTTGTCTGACTAAATTTGGAAAAAAAAATTAGTAAAGACTAATTTCTATGTTTAGTTATTTATTTATTCTACTCAGTTGTAATTAATACAACAGATCAGTGGTTCCCAAACTTTTTTCTCTGGGCTGCATTTTCAGAATGAAAATTTGCTTGTGCCTCACCAAATTTTATGTGATAAAAAAGACATTTAAAAATAAAAATACGGAGAGAGGGTTAAAGGGAGATAACTGCGAATTCAAAGTAAGAACATACTCATTAATAACTCTCTCCTCCAATTTGCAGACCCTAGTTACTATATTCTTAATACTTAATATAATGCAAAAAAAATATCACAATGATAAAATTGGTCAATAATTATTTATAACTATTTATACTGGGACTCATGCATGCAGTTACAAGGAATCCATAATAATATTTTAAATTTTGAAATCATATTTATTTTTGAAATATGAATTTTTTGAATTTGAAACTGTTTCTAAATCTTTGTTTTTCAATCATTCCACCTCACCTGCTATCCTATTCTGCTGTACCCATGAGGCATGCTAAACTATTTGGGAACCACTGCAATAAATTTTGTTGTAAACTGCAGGCACTCAATTAATTGTGTAAAATGCTTTCTCAAGTTGCCTCATTTTGAATTTGATTTCCAAAATGCAAGGAAAATTTTAATTATTTGGTGAATGAAAAAAAAAGATATTTGCAAAATTATAATTGTCCAAAAATTCAATAAGAGACAAAATTTAGGTTTCAGGCTGATCTAGACCAATTTTCATGGCAACCATTCAGCTGAAATTCTTGTTAACAACAAAATATATAATAAAGAAAACAAAAGCATGCCAAAATTTTATGTGATAACTACAAATTCAGATCTTATCAAAATTAAAAATTAAATAAATTACAAAATCTTGAATGTGGAAGACATTCTTTGCTGTTTTATTAGGTTAAGTTATGTGGATCTTCAGGATTAAAATGAAAAGTTGATTTACCAACACCAAGAAGATTAATGAAGAATGATAATGAGGAAACACACAGGTAATTTTAACAAAATAAGATAAGGAATTTATTTCTGAATTTACATGCTTGCTGTAGTGTCAGTAGGTTGTTTGAGGAAAACCAAACAGAATTCTTAAATTCAAAAGTTTTAATGTATTGTCATAAAGAGGAACTGTTCATATAACAGATTAAATTAATTATTAAAATAATATTTAAAAATGTTTAAAACAAAGGTAAGAGTGTTTGTTGCTCACCAAAGGGATATATGGTTTGTATACGTTCAAAAGTAGATGAAGTGAGATAGTCTCAAATATATAGCTTCCCTAGATTGTTGAGAGAAAATTCTTTGAAGTGCCACATGCTGGTAAGAGGTTGATAATACAACTGGTGAGTAATTTTACACTGGCAAAAATTTCAATGCTGGTTGCAAGAAACTGAAACAAAACCTTTCATAGTCTTCATTGAATAATTTTTCTCCTCATTTTATATCAAAAAGAATTTTGGGTATGTTCACTACTTTCTTTCCTTCTTCATAGCTGACAGACCAATTTCTGTAAAAGCAAGATTTTCATTGGCCCAAAAAAACTTTTACATAGGCTTGTGAATTCCTTTCCTCCTTCTTCCTCAGTCCTCTGAATTGAAAGAGAGTGGGTAAAGGGAATTATTTCACACTCATTACAAGGAAAGACCAGTAATGCACATGCATTTGTAGAGGGGCCGTGGCTGTTATGTTGTTGATAGAAGTCAGACATAGAAGAAACGCATGTAAGGTTCAGATACTCCTGCCCGCCGAGCCCAACTACATAAAAAGGTTGGACTTTGATTAAGTCCAAAGAAGAAGGTAAAGAAAGCAAACAAAACACAAGACCGATAATATATGTATATACAAATATATATTAATAACAAGTTACAATACATGGAAATAGTATAAAGGACGAAGTGTGTGTGAATATTCTGTATGTGCGTGCGTGTGTGAATATTCTGTATGTGCGTGCGTGTGTGTATGTTGTGCTTAGCGTGTTTCCACGCTATTCCTTTGTTAGCGCCTACATTTCGAGGTTGATAGCTGAAATCCTGAAGGAAAAAGAGAGAGATTTACCTCAAGGTGTCGGTGCACAGGCCTGAAGGAAAAAGAGATAGAGGCGAAGGGTCAGCGGCTATTTATAGCCAGGGAAGAGAGACCCCTGGTGAAAGGGTTAACGGACTGAAGGAGGAGTTAACTCCGACACATTAATATTAATCAGTGCTGCCAATGAGGTTTGGTTTTGTTTAACAGCACTTCAACCATTACAGAGTTATTTAAGGCCAGATACTATTTTGAATCATGGTTGTTATATGTGGATCAGTGATACTTTGGCTACAGGTTATTTGGTGAAAGTTTCTTTTTCTTTTTATCTGTTATTATAAATACTGGTTTCTAATACAAGTTATTTTGCATTCAGTTTTTGCTGCAAATTGGTTATTAGAGTCTTCAATGTTATTTTTAATAGGAATCTTTATGAAGGAATATATTAAAGGTTTCATGTAGTTTTGTTGGGAGTGCCAATGAGAGTATAAATAACTTAATAAGAATTTTAATAAATCTTCCTTTATTAAACGAAAATTAAGGAAGATTCTACAATTCATTCATTTTGCCACTTTATTTAAACAATAAGTGAATGTTGTTGGTCTTAAATTAAAAACATCTACAATATTGTCATATTTCTTTTTTGCTACATTTTCTAATGCTAATTATTACATGTGATTAATTTACAAATATCTTTGTAAATATAAAGAAAAATTATTTATGAAATCCTTGGAACATGCTGAATCAGAATATATAGTTTTACTAGCTTAAAAGCTGCCTTATCAAGTGGCATTTAAGCTAATTCCTGTGGAGGGCTCTTCATTGGGCCTTCATCACAATAGGTAGGGAGGAGTGGATGTGATAGGCAACAATAAACTACAGAAGAACTCAAAATCAATTGCTGTATTTAAGTATTGCATTAATATTTAAGCTTTTAAAAGTTCAATTAATTTAAAGACAATTTGCTGTACATAGGTCCTTAATTTCCATATAAACAATTGTTTTTATTTCATGGCTGACTTTCGAAATTAATTTCAATTATTCCCAAATATATTTCTAAGTCGCAAAAATTGTTATACAAAAAAATTAGTCATAAAAAAAATCATTGAAAACAATCGCAGGAATGAAAACTTGGGAATTCAAAATTTCAGGATTGTGGGTCCAGATCCAGCCCAGAATGTTTTTAATTTGCTCACAGATTTGGCCTGATTCAAAAATGGCATGATATGTTCGGCTATGGCCTCTAGGAATAAAGTTGAAAAAGTTTGAGACAGTGACACACTGATATTCGATTTTATTATATAGAAATGCTTAAATATTGTAGTTTTAGAGTTTAAGCCACACACACACACACCCAACATTATTATTATGCCTGTAATGAGGGAAAGCTATACAAGAAAGATTTATTCTCCCATTTGTATTTCCACTGTTATAGGTATTATTATATCCATGATATAATAATACCATAGTTCACAGATGGAACAGAATGACTGAAAGGAAATGAATGATAAATGTGCTTTGTTTCCTGAGAGACTTTTATACTAGTAAGATATGCACAAAACTATATCTACATATATACACGTGGGGAATAATATATCACATATATATATATATCTATACAGCAAAGCCGAATGTAAGAAGAAACAAAAAGGAAGGCTCTTACATATAATATGGAGATACTCCTGTATCTGGAGACGCCATGTTTAGGACTCCAGATTCAAATGTATTGCATTCATCTACTATGTCCCAGGCAAGGGCATATTCTACAAATGGGAAACAATGTCTTGGCTTTTCCCAAATTGAGAACTGCGAGCTGGATATTTTTTCTATACCTAAGAAAGATATATTCCCAAATGGAAATGGCATCATGTGCTTGTAAGCTGCTGATGGAGACAGATTTAACCTCAGGCTAGAAAAAAAAAACAACCTCATGTGGTGGCGGCTGTAAACAAACTGAATTTGACTGTCGCTTTCATCACTGAAACGACATTACTAAGCAGACCTTCACATGACTCATGTGAAATAATCACTTTCTGTATCCCTAGATGCCCTTTATTATAGAACAAACTTGCAAATGATTTTTTCAGTAAAAATAAAGAGACAATTTTTTTCAATAATTACTTTATTAAACAATATCTTGTTTTGTTTGACTACATTTTGCCATCTTTTAAGCAGCTTCATAATTCCATTTTTTTAGAACTTTTTATCTTTTTCAGCAAAGAGTTACTCTGCAGTCTTCCAGGAAATTGAATTTTGTAAAGACCAGAATAAATGGTAATCCACAGGTGCAAAAGCCGGTGAATACAAATGGACAAGTGCAACACTTGATTTGTATAATATGACCCTAGGATTAAACTCACAACTTATACACGATGCTATGTTTCATTGGCATGAATATACACTGGCTAAGTGGAAAGTCAGAACATCATAACAAGGAAGACATCTCTCAGAAAGACACACAGGATGTGACAGGTAAAAGGAATGAGAACAACATACTTCAAGACTCAAAGAAAAAGTTCCATTTTAAATTCCCATGTTACCAAATGTGAGAGATGCAACAAGAAAATGAAACACAGAGAAAAAAAAGTAACTAACAAGACCATAAAATAAAATTAGTACCATGTCATGGATATTTGGGGGGGTGGTTACCAAAATTCAAGACATTACGAGTTTTAGCACTATGGTAGTAACTATTAACATTTAACAAGTATTTCATGTATCTATCAATCTGAATAAACATCAAGGAATTTTGATTGAACTCTTTATTTATTCGAAGGGGGTAGTTTGTTCTCATTTAGGTGTCCATGTTTAGGTATCTCATCTGATTCTTTTTTTTTTTTTTTTTTTTTTTAGTATTACTCAATTATTATTCGCCCCTTTTTACCTAAGTCTGACCAAGGATTAAACTGACAATTACCATGCTACCAAATTTACAAACAATGCACAAAACTATAATCACGGATACAATGTAATAACAACAACAACAAAGATAAAGACAACAGTTCAAATCTGTGGATAAGGAGAATAATTCCAGATCTCAAAAATGGAGTCACGACTTTTGATGATGTCACCAACATTTTTAAAAGTTTTCCTTACCTGGGTTTATCTCATCGCCATGGCAATATTTTTTCATCATTTGGTCAGTTTCATACTAAAAACAAGAAACAGCTTAATTAACATCATTTAAAAGTTGGTTCATGAGTTACAAAATATATTTATGAAAAGAATACAAAATTAAACGCGATCCACTTTTGGATGTTTTCTGTTACTTATCACAAGTAGTAATTCACCTGCAGAAATTATAAATTTTAAATCAAAGTTTGTTTGCTTTTTAGTTAAATTTTTTGCACTCTTATGAAATGATAAATTTTAAATCAAAATTTGTTTTGCTTGCCTCACAACAACTCCAACCCTCAGAATTAAAAATTACCAAAAATCAGGAGGTTATTCACATTTGGTAAAGGCAGGTGATATTTGAGGTACTTACAGGGAATTTTTCACAATTTAAAAAAAAAAAAAAAAAAAGAAAAAAATTCTGTTTTTGGCTCATTTATTTAAAATGTAGAAATAGCACACCCAAGTCGTCCACATTTGGGATAATTGCAAAGGTCAACCCAACCAGAGTGCAATGAAAGGGCCTTGTTCTGGGAGAATTTGGTGTGAATTTTAGTAAATATAAATTATTTTTATTTTGGGGTGAATTAACAGAAAAGATCCTCACATTTTAGCAAAAAATTGTTCTATTTAATTTTGTCATTTTTGAGAAAGTGATTTATTTGAATATCAGTTTATTCATGCTGTCAAAAGTGACAGCATATATGTGTTAATCTTTGTTCAAAATAGCCAAGAATTAGGAAGGCTGTAGTTAAAAAGAGTATTGAAGGAACAGAAGACAAGGTAGTGAAAACAAAGAAAAAAAAAGGTTTTGTTAAATATTCATACATAGAACAGGAAAATTTTAGTAAATCAACTACTTCTCAAATCTTACTCCAATACTTGCTATATTTATAAGTAGGAACAGTCCATTATCACAGTAGTAGGGAAGAGCAGGAAGTACACTAAGTCCTACTCTACAACAATATGAAACTCATATTTTGTTAACTTCTTAATTATTTTCCAATTATTTTTTTTCATTGATTCATCCATATTCTTTGTCTTATCAACCCTTTGCAGATTATTTAAAGCCAGAAAATATTTTTAGATTGTAATTTTTTATGAGATAATAATGGTTTCGTGATACGAATCTTACTATTTAACCCATAGCTTGGTGGGGGAAGAAGAGGTGGATTCATGCCTTTCCAAAGGGTATTTATGCATAAGTGAATATAATGAACACAACAAAAATTGAAACCGACACTGTTGCTTTGCTGACAGCAAGATGATCAAGTTTCAAATCTAAACTGTTGGTCCATTTAAATTAATACTTATTTATTAGAAAATATATGCAGTTAAAATAAAATAAAAAGTGATAAAATGACTTCAAAGGTGTGCACATTTATATACGCTGATACACTTTTCCTGTTACGCAGGGGTTGTTACCAGACAGATAGGGAAATGTCCATATGCATATTTATGCATGTGTATTTTAATTCAAAAATATTTCTGCAAAGTTTAAAAAAAAAAAACTTTTAAAAATAATTCCATTCTTAACAAACGAATTTCAAAAAAAATTTTCAATAATTGTTTTTTTTTAGGGTTTAAAAAAATTTTTTAACTTTATGATTTTATTGCTCAACCAGGGTAGGGGTTGTTCAGACTGAGTAGGAGGGGAATGTAACATTCCAATGTCTTATTACAAACTCGGTCAAATTATGTATATGTATGTATTCTTTAAATGGCACAAACACGAGTCATTCATACACAACCCAGACATATGCATATACATTACATATACACACACAAAGTCACATGCAGACAGTGTGTGATGGCCAGAGAATCCACTCTACTTTTATATTATAGATTAGAGAATGACAGATTATGGTTTTACATATAAAAAGTATATGTTTGTTGCCTGTGCATTAGCAGTTGGCACCAAATGTATAAACCAAGTTACAGAATATAACACTGAGCTTCACTAGTATAGCACTTCAAGTAGATTGAATTCACTGCCTTAGCAATGTTCTGTGACACTAGTTTGTTAAGTATTGCTCAGCAGCTGACTATCCTTTATCAAAAAAGGACAGACCTTCATTTAGCCTTTTCTGACTTTATCTTGTAGTGCCTTAACTGTAATATAAGCAGCGGTTCTGGGGTTTAGAAACAAACAAAGCCTTAAGTAGCTCTCTCTTTCGGGTTATCCTCCTTTTGAACTGTGAGACAAAGTTTTCACACTGAAGCTAAAAGGTCTGTGAACGCTTCACACTAAAACACACCAACACAGTAAGTCCCTCTCAAATATATTTATTAACATTTTGTGTATGCAATTTACTTCTAAGAAAAGAAACTCTTAAATTTTTATTTTTATTAATTTTGTTTAATAAATGTTATCTTGTATTGCAAATCAATTGGTCTGTTATTTTGTACATATATCCTTTCACCAACATTAATTCATATTCATTGTAAAATATTCTTGTAAAAAACTTTACACATTTATTTTTGAAGTAACTGACACACTAAAATCTTTTGTTGAATTTGGAAGATACAAAAGAAAACAGTGTTGTTTTCAATTTGCATATCTACAGGAATTAAATTTTTTTTTGATTCCCTTTATTATAACTTGAAAGAATTGGCAATCCTAGTCGCAGGTGTGATGATGTCTGGCCTAAGGACATGAAGCCATTCAGAAAGGATCAAACTCACTTTTAACAGCATTATCTTTGCAAAACCAATCACATTCTGTCACAAACTTAAAACACAAATGGCCAACATTAATACAATAACAGCATCTTTTTTTTTTTTTTGCTTGAATTCTAGCAACACTTGTTATGAAGTGTGGTATGGGGAAATACTCCAACCAAAATAGCTTTTACAGGCTATTTTATTGGCTTCTGTATGAAAAATGCAAACTTGATAAAATTCTAGTTAGAGTGTTATTTACTTTCTTTTATCAGCACAGATAATATAAGTTTTTAAAAACTTTTTCTTTTTTTTCCGGGTGGAGATTGCAAAGTATAACATAATTGTCATTAGTTACCTTAGAGGGTTTGTAACCAAATACTAACACGAGAGAAACTTTCAAATCTTCTCGTGTTAAATATCCTTTGCCGCCCTCATCGCAATCTTGAAATACCTGGAGGGGGGAAAAAAAAAAAGTGAAAAATACTTTGAAATCAGATTTTAGTTTCAAGATTTAACGCTTTTAGTCACAAAAATTTAGGAATCAAATAAAGAAATTCTACAAAACTGTAAAATAAATAAAAAACTAAAAAAATAGCCTAAAGAAAACTTTTTAAAAATAAAACAACAAATAAACTTTACTAAGGCTAATCAGTTGCATCTGAAGAAGTTTTATTTCGCCTGAAGGTGGAAAAATATTTATGAAATATGGCATTAAACGTGTCTCTCTAATTATACTAACAAATTTTATAAAAATATTTTTCTTTCTTTATGTTGGGTCAGATCAGGCCTTCCTGTATTTTTAAATTTCAAGTCAGTTGTTGAGTGAGTTAGTAACAAAGGCCAAGAAGTGATATTTGTACTTAAAGTTACGACTTTAACATTCTTTTTTATTCATGAAGAAAAAAAAATAATTGTGAACATCAGAAATATAATAAAAATGGTTGTTGTCAACATCAAGGGTTAAGAAATCAATAAACGGGTGAGAAAAAAAACAAAAAACATTTTGGTAGGAAAAACATAAAAATGTTGCATTTGATTTAATTACAAAAAATGACTAACTTGTTTGTTTTTCTCATTATTAGTTACTGAAATACCGACAAAACAAATTTTAACGTTTTTAATTAAAATAAAAATAGGTAAAGAAATTACTAACTTTATGTAATAACTTAGTTTCTTTTTTGCTTAATTCTCTTGTGATCGGAGTATAACCCGTGTAAGGAGTTAACGTAAAATTCAACCGATAATCCATTTGGACTGCAATAGGAGAGGAAAACTGTTTAAAATAAATAAAAACAAATCCCGATTTAGAGCGAATTCAGCACAAGAGCAAAAATGGAAAATCAGAATACAAATCCGAACATTATTAATAACAAATCCTATTTCCAAAGAGGACAATGATTTTGTTGTAACAACAAAATAGCTTGTAAGGGAGATAACTCTGATTTCCCAATTGTAAAATTGATTTTCTCCACTTTCCAGCCTCGATTTTTATTGGCTTCTTCTTTATTCAGAATAGACAGAAATTGACTCTGTTTCAACGGCCGCAAATCCAAGTATGAATTATGGTTAAAGTGAATTTTTTAGGATACAGGAGAATCCAAAAATGACATAAAACAATCTTGGCACCATACGGTCATCCTAATGACGAAACACTGTCGAAAAATGTGGGGGAAAAAAGAATGCAAACGCGTTCACCGAGTTATTTAATTTCTTGATGACCGAAGTAAAAATCCGTTGCTTTCTCAGATGGCGAGAGAAGGCCTTTCTTTTACACATAGCAGAAAAGCATTGCAAATTTTGAGAGAACACTACTTATCAAAAGGAAAAACGAAAGTAAGTTCCCTGTACTGAATTTTTAACCAACCTCCTTACGAAAAGCAATGGTGAAAATATTACGTACGAATGATGTGACACTGACAGTGACATGTCTTCACATTCATTTAGAAGCGTGCTTCAGTTCATATCACGTTGGCGTCACCAGTATGTTGCGCATTACAAGGTTGCCTTCTCGTAGGTTAAGAGAAGTTAAATAGATAGAGAAGGATTTTAAAGGAAAGAGCAAATGCTTTATTTTTATTTTTATTATTTTTATATTTTATTTTTATCGGGATTCACTATAGAGCTGAAAATGCAGCAAGTTTATTAATCAAGAAGCGATACGAAGCAATAGGTTTGTTAATAGCCATGGTCCTAAAACTCCTTCCGTCCAAATTTAAACCGTTGACACCTGTTATCACTCAAAAAGACAAAATTAGTAACGTTCAGTCAGTGAATTTAAAGTAGATTTACGAAGTTTCGAAGAAACTGAAAAGATTATTGAAGAGTAGATTAGACGGAGGTGAACAACGTCAAATCAAAGGTACAAATGACAAAATTAAACACACCGCGCAAGGGCTCCGCGCAGCTTTCCGGTTTTTAAACATACTTCAAATTTTCAATTTAATAAAAACTAGCAGCATGACCCGGCGTTGCCCGTGCTTGATTCAAAAATCGTACGACTCTTACAGCAATCGCTATCAATTGACTTAAAATATTTTTACCCTTCCTTGCCTTTAAAGGAGTGCCCTTTGCCGTGCTGATGCCTTACTTCTTGCCTATCTCACACTGCGAATTTTTTCTAACCTCTATACTAAACATTAAATCTGTTACGAAAAAAAGAACTAAACAAAATGAACACAAAACGATCAGCTTTAAAAAAGGAATCGTAACTGGAAAAACCGAATGAAAAAAGAATGTTAACAACAAATACTTTTTGACACCCAACCCAGTTCTGCGAAATCAGAATCAACGTTGAGTTTAAGCAATCCAATTAGCCAATTGGAGTAAAGTGCCATGCAGATTTACATTTTTCCCACTTGTGACGAATGCAGCTATCGATTTTTTTTGCATGCTAGTTAACATTCGTGTCAGTCAGCTGTTGGCTCTCACGCTGGCCAATAGAATCTTCCTGGCTATTCGTGGCAGCCAACTATAGGCTCTCACTTTGGCCAGTAGAAAATGGCCGCAAACTACATGAAAACTGCTGTAGAAGCATGAAAAAATCGATTATTTCCACTATCGATGGGAGTTGGGAAATGCAAAGTCGGTCTTGGCCTTCATGCTAACTTGGAGCATGTGCATGTAAATTTTGGTGCAAATCAGTCGAAAATTGCGGCTATGCATTCGTTACACACACACACACACACACACACATTCTGCCTTTTATAGATAGAGATAAATAGCCAATAAAATCAGCTCCCGACAGTAAATAAACAAGCCTACATAAGACTATAAAAACCAAATATTCATTCAACTCGACAGACGAACTGACAGAAATACGAGTCAACCTTGGCGTTTTGTCTTCCTCATCAGAACAACAGCCAACTCCCTTTGATGATGTCTCCCAACTCCACTTTCTCTCTTCCTCACTGAAAGACTTTTCGTGTTCATTTCCTTACAGCCAAGAGACGAACTTTCTAAGTTTCATTTCATAAGTAATTTAATTACAGTTAAAATTTGTGCATCCTACGTTTAAATAAATATAATTTTATTTGAACACGTAACAATCTTTTGCTTTTCTCTCGTGTTTTTTTTTTTTTTTTTTTTTCAAACAGGGACCCATGGAATCTTTCACCAACAAGAGAATATCAGTTTTAAAAATACCGTAAAAGCCCTAAAATGCAAAGCTCAAGACCAAAGCAACAACAAAGTAATAATGTCCTTACCTGCTTTTTTACATGTGGTGAATCAGGCCGTAAAAGCACTGACTGACGAAGTAAAATTCAGAATTTTTCAGTAAATATTTCCTGTTGGCCCGTAAACAGATATCGAATGACTGAAGACAGCAATAAACAAAACGAAGATTTGAGTAAAAATAAATATTGCTATGTTTATTTTTGTTAAAGAAAAATACATAAACAAAAATAGTGGGAACTAGGCAAGAGGTAGAGGATGAGAAATGGCGATGCCCTGAGAAGGACAGTTTCGTGGTCGCTAGAAAGCATCCTGAAAAGGACAGTTTTCGTGGTCAGTAGAGAGTGTTGTCCTGAAAAGGACTGTTTATTTTTTGCATATATCAAGGATGGCAGGAGCTGGAGGCCTACTGGAGATGACTGGAGCGACGTCACGATGGCTAGTTGGAGCTGCTGCTGATGGCCGGGCGTTATGGCCATTCGGTCGGTTGTTACTGGAACAGTTACTACACTTTGATCCTACTTATCTCGGCTGCGGAACGTCGCTATTTACCCAATGTCCTCAACCCCCCTTCCTTTTAAAATACTGGGAGTCGCTGAATTGTAGTAAGCTTTTAAATTTATAATTAGTAAATATGTTTTTAACTAAATAAAAATACCAAATAACCGCTACAAATTAATAGAGAATTTTCAAAGATTTAAATGAAAATGAAAACTTGTAAAATTTCATTATTCATCGAAAAACTTTTTTCTTAAGGCGATAATGTTCATAGTTAATATAAAAGCAATGAAAAGCTTTTTCTAATTAAATAAAGCCTTAGTTTTATTGTATTTTTATTTTATGATTTGAAAAAACCGATTTTCTATAACCAAAGGTCCTGTCTGACCAAAAAAAAAAAAAAATGATAATTTAAATTCTCGGAGGACTTCTCTGTATAAATGAATTATAAACACTTAAGCGCTACAAAAATGAATTTCTTCAAATTTCTAGTGATAGAAAAAAAAGTTCAGTATTTAAAAAATAAAACAATAAAAAAAATAGAAAGCTAAAAGTTGGCAAACCATTTTAGTTTGCCATAAAGAAATAAATAAAAGAGGCCAAAAACTTATCATTCTTAAATGTAGCTGAAGAAAAAGGGATTGTCAGATGAATCATTTCTGGATCCAATCAAAATCAAGAAACAAGAGGAATGAATAGAAAAATGTAAACAGATAGTGACGATCAAGTAAAAGGAAAAGCCGCTGAAAGAATTTCATCCGCTGTCCCATTCTCTAAACCCACAGAGAAAGTCGAAAGAATTACTGCTATCAAGAAATACTTACATACATATATTTTACAAGGATTTAAGGTAAGGACGTTATCCAAAGATCACCGCCTGTAAACAATTAAAAAAAAAAAACACTTTTAACATTACAAACTTAGAACCTCAACCTCCTCAAATGAAATAAGTGGGGTGAAACAAAAGATTAAAAAAAATATTTTCACCAAGATTTTCTAAAAAGGAAACGTTTCTAAAATAATTTCATTAATCTGTGAATAGTTTCATTAAAATTATTTGACTTTTGCAAGAATTTCCAAATCACTGTTTTTCACCGCAAGAAGACGCTCGAATTTCCCAGACTAAAAAAAAAAAAAAAATTAACCAAAGTTTCGTAGGTTCTGTAAAGGACTAAAAATATAATTTAATAATTAAAAAAAATCTTTTCCTCTGTCGGAGTTAACTCCTCCTTCACTCCGTTAACCCTTTCACCAGGGGTCTCTCTTCCCTGGCTATAAATAGCCGCTGACCCTTGACCTCTATCTCTTTTTTCTTCAGGCCTGTGCACTGACACCTTGAGGTAAACTCTCTGTTTCCTTCAGGATTTCAGCTATCAACCTCGAAATGTAGGCGCTAACAAGGGATAGCTTGGAAACACGCTAAGCACAATATTCACACACGCACGCACATACAGAATATTCACACACGCACGCACATACAGAATATTCACACACACTTCGTCCTTTATACTATTTCCATATATTGTAACTTGTTATTAATATATATTTGTATATACATATATTATCGGTCTTGTGTTTTGTTTGCTTTCTTTGCCTTCTTCTTTGGACTTAATCAAAGTCCAACCTTTTTATGTAGTTGGGCCCGGTGGGCAGGAGTATCTGAACCTTACTTGCGTTTTCTTCTACGTCTGACTTCTATCAACAACATAACAGCCACGCCATGAACCCTCAACAAGTGGTAACCGCCACGGCCCCACTACACCTCTAACAAATAACACAAAGATTTTGACTATAAAACTTTGTTTTTATTTAGTTTTGGGCATTTTTTCATCGTATATGCTTATTTTTTAGCGAATCTTTACAGATACTTTGGATACTTAAAACAGAATGAAAATAACGTTTTATTTATGCTTGTGAATGCCAAAGGACAAAGTAAAAACTGTGTAATTGCACCCTTGTCCTAAAAATTGCACGAAAAATTATAAATAAGACAAAGAAATACGGAAGACCAATAGTGCAATAATCAAGAATTTATTATTCATGTTTAAAAATAAATTTTCTTTAATCTGATATAACCAATATCAATATGTCTTTTGTAAACCGGTGATGTTATCTCATTTGTGAACGTCTGCTTTAAATCAGAATATTTTGTTTAAAGGAACCAGAAAACCGGCATCGCCTGAAATAAATTTATCTTTTCTCATCACCTTCGACGTTTGACATTTTGAATTGGGAACTTTTCAAAATACGTAAATTTGTTTTGTTGTTAAGAAAAAAGAAGAAAAAAAACTTCCTCATGGACTATTTCCTAGGAGAAATCAGATGTGTATTTCAAAGAACTGTTGATCTGTTTTGACAGTTTGGGGCACACAAGAGACATTTTGTGTTTGATCTATGTATTTTTTTCTGTATTTTTTAAATGGGTTTCACCCTATGCAAGGCAGTAAAGCCACTAAGACACAAGAGGTTACTGGGTGTAGAATAATTAGGAACAGAAACATTAGTAATGACTGGGAAAAGAAAAGAGTAATCAAGAGGATAGTAGATAGCGATTGACATTGCATTTAATTTTTTGCAGATTAAAGTTGGCTGGAAAAGAGTCGGAAGGGAATCCACAAGCGAAAAGTACGAGAAAATAAACTGTTAGCATAGACCTTATGGCTACATCTAGCCAGCTCAACTGTAAATTGTACAATTTGTATATTTTCTGTCTGAATTTCTGGGATGAGGATTTATCATTATTTACGCTGTTTACAAGCGGACTATTATCCTCAAAATGTGTTGTTATCACAACGTTTTGATGAAAGCCAGAGGTCACAACGGCCGAAACGTTGTGATAACTACAACAAAGATGAGGACAATAGAATTATAATATAAAACTTTATTTGAATAACAAATAACCTTGTCTCAACAGCGGAGACTATCAGAAAAGGGAAGGACTGTTCTTAGCCAGTAGGCAGATTGTATAATGTAGTGACTAGTAGAATGTTAAAGTTCCGCGCCAATACAAAATCAGAATGGCTAAGGCGGGAAAAGTTTCTTCAGAAGGAAGGTTCTGGAATATAGTCTTCTTGTACAAAAGGTGTATGCGTACATAACAAGGAAAAATACTCACTGCGAGGTTTAATAATGTGTGTGTAATGTTATCTTTTTTTTAAACTGGTTCGTAAAGGTTAAAATTCAAAAGAGGTGTATGAAAAGTTCATCAATCTTCAGTGAAGAAAAACTCTACGTTCCCTGATAGTGAACGGAGGAAAGTTCGAACAAGTTGTTCGCGTCAGGACGAGGAATTTAGTTATTGCAAAAGTGTGATGAGTTTCTTCAGAAAGAAAGTTCGAACAAGTTGTTCGCGTCAAGACGAGGAAATTAGTCTTGGAAAAGTGTGATGAGGACCGTGTCGTAGACTCTGGTAGTGAACGGAGGAAAATTCGAACAAGTTGTTCGCGTCAAGACGAGGAAATTAGTCTTGGAAAAGTGTGATGACGACCGTGTCGTAGACTCTGGTAGTGAACGGAGGAAAGTTCGAACAAGTTGTTCGCATCAAGACGAGGAATTAGTCTTGGAAAAGTGTGATGACGACAGTGTCGTAGACTCTGGTAGAAAATAGAGGAAGGTTCAAACATGTTGTTCACTTCAAGACGAGGAATTAGTCTTGGAAAAGTGTGATGACGACAGTGTCGTAGACTCTACGTTCTCTAGTAGAAAAACGGAGGTAAGTTCAAACAAGTTGTTTGAAGAAAAGTTGTAATCACACGACATCTTGAAGTTTTTGGTTAGTTAAGATATTCCGGCCCGCGTATGGGTCAGGGGCACGGAATAAATGAGTCGACCTTCTAGTTTGAAAATCATGCAGCGACTGACTTGAAAAACGAAGTTTGTCAGTGACGTCAGAGAAATGCGCGGGAAAATTTCGAATTCCGTTCTAGCTGGAATCAGGAGCAGCTAGCCGAAACCTCCTCACGTCGGCTGTTTACTGTTATATCTAACCGAACGTGAAAGGAAGGGGTGCAATCCGCGTACGCACGTAAAAATAGGTGGAATCCATGCACGATTCCACAGCATCATGTGATATTCTTTTCATGCCTTTTCCATTGGATGCTAACAGATATTAAAAGTTAAATACATCAAAAATGCATATATAGCTATTTGTGCTATGTTATAATAATAAACAATAATTCTCTATAATTTTTAAAAAATTAATAAGCTGAAAGAATATTTAATCACATCTCCCTTAGTAGCTGTTGCGATCTGTAAATTAAAATTTTTGACAACGTGTATTTGAGCATAATTTGCCTTTACTTTTCATTCAAAATGTCTCGTATTATACACAAGGAAATACTGCAGTGACATTAACCGATTCACTGTAGATGACAGGAATTTCAGCCATTGCAGTTCGACGAATCAACTGTGAATGATGGAAAATCTCTGCCATCGTTAATGGGCGAATGACTTTGCATTTTATTTTTATTTCTTTACACCAGCGCTTCTTAAACTGTGGGTCGCGGCCCCAATTGGGTTCGTGAGGCGAAATGCTGGGTCGGCGAAAATTAAATTCAAACCCTTGAATTTCAGTTTCTATGTTATTTCACAAACGCCCAAAATTTAACGTGATGTGTCATGCAAGCGCTGCAGTAATAAAACGGGCGTGCGGCGCCATTGCGATTAAGGCAGTGACAACGGATGTATTTTCAATGGAGTTGCTTATTATATGGGGTCGCAAAAAATCTCGTCATGAAAAATGAGGTCATGAATGAAAAATGTTTAGGAAGCGCTGCTTTACACCTACAATTTATACAGGCTATAGCAAGGCATTTTCAACAGTAATCATTAAAAACATCCAAATCTAACTGTGATTAAAATATTGGAATGTTCTGAGATGTTTGGGAAAATTTGTGTAAACAAACTTTCCTTGTTTATACAAAGATAGCAAAACAAAAAAAATACTAATAATTTAAAACCTTTACATTTTTTTTTTAAATACAGATACTCCCCTATTAATATGAACATGAACTAACGTGGAAATTTCCAATCTGGCACAAGAAATGAAATGCTTGGGACACGAGCCAACAACCGCAGTGACTTGAATATGGCCAGCTGAAAAGGAGGAATGACAGGTGAATATCCCCCGGCGCCACGGAAGGACCCACAGAGATGCATCATATCGTCAGTGATCGTCGTGGGATTCGCATAATACATGTGTGCGTGCTTTTGCAGAGGTGGTCTGTCTGTATTACTGAAAAAAATCCTTGATGACCCAAAATGTTAAATAATAGTTTAGCAGAGTATTATTTTTAGTAGAAGTGTATCATCCTGGCTCTGACTTCCGGAGGTTGACCTGCGAGGTCAAACGGAAGCTATAATAAGGGAGTCGATTTTGATTGGCTGAGCTAGCGTGGGAATGATAGAGAGAGAAAAGTTTTTCAGTGAGTTGTTTCTTGACCGATAAGCAATGTAAGCGTGTTCTCTTTCGTGTCTGAAACGGCTCCCCAGTAAGAGGGGAATGACTCCCACCGGATAGTTAATACATGTCGACATTAATAAAATAGTTAAGTTAAAATTCTCTGTGGTGGAGTCTTTTGATTGCCGAACCAAATCAACTAACGGTCGCTGGCCAAGAGAAGACGAGATGGGACCACTCCCACCAGAGGATATGCAACAAAAGGAGTAGATTCATCCCCTGTGCAATGTTACTACGACATCAAAAAATATTCATATGTAGGTCGCTGCGCCGATCTCTCATTCTGTACCGCTAAAGATATTACCGGAACGATGGTCTACCAAGGAAATTAATTGGTATTATAAATAGGTAGCGGAACATTCATGGCTCCGTCTGTGTAGCTAGGAAGTAGTATTGCTATGTTGTGGGTAGTAAACCAAAAGCTCATGATGAACCAGGTGTGTATGTCTTATGTGTGCATGTTATATCTGTGTGTGCGTGTGCGTACATGCGTATGCGCGCGCTTACGGGTGTGTGCATGTGTGATCAAACAGTACTTATGCGTCTAAAAAAAAAGGCACAACCCATTATTTCATAGTTTTATTGAATTGGTTTAGGCTTCTTTAGGCTTACACAGATGCGAACAACCTCAGATAGATATGAACAGACTAAGATAGATAGATAGATAGATAGATAGATAGATAGATAGATATGAACAGACTAAGATAGATAGATAGATAGATAGATAGATAGATAGATAGATAGATAGATAGATATGAACAGACTAAGATAGATAGATAGATAGATAGATAGATAGATAGATAGATAGATAGATAATGAACAGATTGAGATGGATAGTTTAGTAAATGAATGATTGAATACCGAAAAATTCACGGATCCCGACCCATAAATCGCTGAGATATTTTCATGTGTGTGCGTGTGTTGAGAGATAGATATGAACAGACTGCAATAGATAGATAGGAACAGACTGGGATAGATAGATAGATAGATAGATAGATAGATAGATAGATATATGTGCACTCGCAAAAGCAGCAACTCCAGTTTGTTGTCCAATCAGACGCAGCTGAGCAAATAAAGGTAATTCTAAATACATAGATTCACGCAGACTCTTGTCTACCGGGTTTTCAACAACTTGCTTCTTCATTCATCTGTCTTATATAATTCATTAGGTTTGTCACGTTTACTCATACCCCGCACCAAGTTTACATTCTTACCCCGCCCCCGCCACCATCTCACCACAAATCTCTTCTACACGAAAAAGTAAAAGACACTAATCACAGTGAAGCAAGTAAATGAGGTTAAAACGACACATTGACTCCGCGTCGAAATCCGAAGAGAAGATAAAATAATTATCCATAAAAAAACGTCAACGTGGGCTAAGAAATACTTAGGATATCGCCAGGTGAAAATAAATGATTATTTAACAAAAAATAAAGCAACGAGATTATTTGATTCAGCTGGTCAGTCACTGAAATGGTCAACATTTTTTTTTAAGAAGTAGAGGTCGATATATTTTAAGTTTTATACATTTTATTTATGCACAGGATATTATCTGAAAGAGCGATACAAATGCAGAAGGACGTGGACCTGTGTTTTATAGACTACAGAAAGGCGTCCGACAAAGTACCCCATAAAGATCTGTTAGAGCTGCTTAGCAGCTTTGGCATATTCGGGAAAGAATAATCAAGAACCTATACTGGCAGAAAACCAGACTACATGCAGATAGAAAATGAGTTCAGCAGATATTCAAAAATAGAAAAACGTGTAAAACAAGGATGTGTCTTCTCACCGGATATATTCAACCTATACAGCAAGACAATTCTGAGCGAATTAGAAGGTCTAGCAGGATTCAATATTGGCGTCCACAATCTTAACAATATAAGACATGCAAACGACACAGTGCTGATAGCAGACAGAAAGGAAACTACAAAACCTCTTATAGAAGGTAGCGAAGGAAAGCGAGAAGAAAGGACTAAGTATAAACTACAAGAAGACAGAATGCATGGTTATTAGTAAAAGGGTGAGCCCGAAATTCAAATTACAAATCGGGGATACTAAAATCAGACAAGTACAAAAATTTAAATATTTGGGAAGTGTTCTAACAGAGGACGGAAAGGGTGACAATGAGATACGAAGACGTGTTTGGATGGCCAAGTTCCAAAAGCTAAGCAGAGTATTAAGAGACAGAAAAATTTCGTTAGAAACAAAGAAAAGTGTAATGAATTGTTATGTGATATCTGTCCTCCTGTATGACATTAAATTCTAGACTCTCTTTAAAGAGTCATCTTTTTCTGCCTGCTGCATAAGTTTTTTTTTTCCGGATATATTTATGAAACAAAGACGTCGTCTCATTTTATCGTAAATTATCCTAAAACCGCAGTCTGCTAGAAGAAAAAAAAGTCATTTCAGCCATTTACAATTGTATGTGATTGTGTGTGCGTATTTCTGCGGACCTTTCCCCAAAACGATCCAAACATAATTTACAACGTAACAATCAAAACATGAGGAAAACACGAGGAAAAAATAACAACGCCATAGACAAAACACCCTTGAAAATGGCTATAGAATTTATCGTAAGCGCTTGGGACAATAAAAATTATGGAGAATTTTTATATTCCTTAACTCCTACAAAACGGGAAAATGTTAGGATGCTGGAAAAAAAACTTAATAAAAAAAATCCATTCAATCTTCATTGTCTGTCGTATTCAATGAAAGATGTTTGAAAATATCTGCCAAAATATACACTAATTACATTTACGTAAAGCGCCTATGATTGTGCATTGTAGATAAAACTGAATATGCGTGTGTATGCCGTATACATTTATATGTGTATTATGAACGTGTATATATCTGTTTGCATTTCTAATTGTACAGTTATCCTCCTTTACCTACGGTTTTTTTCTATCCACGGTTTCAACTACCCGCGGGGAGCCACAGAAATTCATTATTTTTAGTTAATGGTTCTAATTCATAAAGCGAGATGTAACCGCATCGCTACTTCCACGGAAAGTTCTCGGACGAACGGCATTCCTTGCTTCCACCAGTTCTAAACTTCACGGCTAGGATCCGCCATGCCACTTACATAGTAGCAAACCACTCAAATTCCCTCTGTATTCCATCGGCGAGAAGTAAGTTCCACTCAAACAGCTTCTTCCTTCGAACCGCTTCTTTGTGGAACAGACTCCCAAGAGGATGTTTTCCCGATTGGTACAATCTTAACCTGTTAAAATCTAGGGTTAACTGTTATCTTTCCCGCCTATCTCTATAAACTGCTAACCCCCTACCTCGAGTGGCCTCCGGGTCTTTTACGGGGTGAACCTTACTATAAAAAAATATTCTCAAATTTAAGATAGATTGATACGTTTTCTGCGTGTATAAATCCGTTTTTTTTTTCTCAATAACAATAAACTTTCTACATTTGCCTTTGAAAAGAAGCAAAACGCGTCGGCATAACATGTTGCCGTTGCAGATATATTCATCTATATCAATTTTCACACACACACACACACACACACACACATATATATATATATATATATATATATATATATATATATATATATATATATATATATATGACTACGTATGACTGCATTAGTCTCTTTAAGAGATCAGTCATCAAAGAATGAACGGGAAGAAGTCATAAAAGTGGGATAGGTTTGACGATTGGGAAAGGCCTGGCAAAAGGAAAGCGAATATATTTCGACGATCGGAATGTTATCAAGTGATACATCAATTTTTGTTTTCCTCATGAACCCGCAAAGCAAATTTTCATCACTTTTTGCAATCTCTTATATAAAACACGTTTTTTTTTTGTCTTTATGAAAGATAAGTCTCCTGACATTGAGTGTAAATTGGCACGGTGAATGAAAAGCTGTACATTTCATGAAAGTTTCCCATTCAAATGTGCTGAATGTCTTGACGTAGTCTGGCGACTGTCGTCTTTTATTGACTGATTTAATAAATGTTTTGATTTTTAATTATTTATGATGCGTCTTTCTGTTATTGTTTACTTCGATCCTAAACCGACACCACATATAAGAATATTCATCATCATGCTGTACAAATTACACGATGCTGAAGATGGTGGAAGTGCTGAATAATTCGCGACCCGACCCGACCCGACCCGACCCACTTCCCAAAATCAGTATTTCCATGACTAAACACCAGAATAATGATTTGGGGAAAAGGAATCTGGCTTAGAAATTTCAGCACCCACAAGCAAAATAAAATTGCAACACATTGAAGGACGATGTCGATTTTGACCTGAGTACAGTATGTTAACGCCAAGAGTTCGTAGATAATCTGACAGCATTTTTAAAGTCTTTAGCCATCTTGTGATACAATAACACTCATTGCAGTGCACTGTCTGAGTTTTACACTGTAAAAGAAAAAATCCCGTGCATGCAGATGCCGTTCCACTGAAATGCACATGTGGTCGTTTTGTTGAATTAGACTCGCTTGTGAAAAGTTATGGAGTTTGGCGATCAGAAGCTCTGTACGTTGGACTCGACGTGTCGATGGCGCTTTGATGTTGACAACAGTCGTCAAATGAATATTCCTACATCTGTAGACCAGGTTCTAGACGGCTACGTAGTACAGACGCTCGCTAAGATCGATGCAGTTCACACAGCATCAAATTAAAGCAAATGCGTCTCCAAAAGATGGACTGTTGTGAATTGCTGCAGGACTGTGTGCGATA